AAAAAAAAAAAAAAAAAAAAAAAAAAAAAACATCATAGTAAAATTAATACCTCCTCCGCTTCGCATCGAAGCTAAAATTGTATTAGACCGCAAGTGATATGGTAAAAAGGAGTTAATATTAATGAGTTATGTTAATCAGACACATAATATATTTACTTTCAATACTAAAGTACCATATTAATACAACCTTAATAAAAAAAAAGTAAAAAAAAACAACTGGTCATATCAACAATGTATTATTACCAAAACTAAAACAAAAAAAAACTACAAAACTTTAGATTAAAATTAGTCTTTTTTTTTTTTGGTTAATGTTTTCTTGAAGTAACATTATTTAAATTTGTATTGTTAATATTTTTACTAACTTTATTGTTTTTAGGCTAGAGAAGAGCAGATGGCCCAAGAACAGCAACAGTGGCAAGAACTACAAGCTGCTGCTCAAAGAGCTGCAGTAAAACCTAAGACTGAAGAAAGTAGTGATGATGATGATTATTCTTAATGTTTTTTAATTGACGATTGAACTCTTTTTTTTTTTTCTTGAGTTTATTTTTATTTCTTCATTATATTGTTATAATATTTTATATCTTATTCCTTTTTTAAATTTAATATTTACTTTATTGACAAACAAATTAATTTTAAAATTCCTTTAGTTATAATTAAAAATATGCAAAGTGCATATGAATTATTTTTCATTAGCTTATTTTAATTTTTTTTCAATTAATTAAGTAATTTAAGTTCAATACACTAAATATGATCTTTAAATTGTAGTCTTATTCTAGAAAAGACATAATAGTATTCAAGTTTAAATAATTGAATTACTTACACATTATTATTTTAATAATTAATTTTAGGGTACTACTTTGAAAAGAGCCCTACTTCATCCGTAAAAGTTATTACAAAAATATTCAGTAGTTATGTATCTTTTGTAATTGATCTAAAAAAAAAATTGAAAAGTTGCTTAAAAAAATGTATTTTATTATCATCTATTTCTAAACTTAACAGATTCAGATATTTTGTATTTGAAACCTAAAAAATCTTTACAATATACAAAAAAACTAATATGATATTATTGCTCATATATGATATTGATGTCTTGTACCGTCTTTAATATAACAATATAATCATGTCCAAAGCTAACCTTGATTTAATAATACCTGGTGTAGAAAATATTAAAATATACATTTTAATATTATTGGGCTTGATATTGGAAAAAGAAGTAGAGTAGTTTTATTAAGAAAGTTTTTTCAACAGCACTATTTTACATATTATAATTTATAAAGGATTAATTTAGTAAGGCTTTAAGATATTACCTATCTCAAAAATTTAGAAATTTATCAACTGAATGTCCGCCATATTCTAACATCCAGTAAAATTTAGCGTAACTTTTATTTCTATAATTGTTGTATATTAAAAATAAAAATTTTACATTAGTTTTTTTACTAAAACATGTTAATTTACGAAAAGTTTAAAAAGAAAATCAAGATAACCATTTTGTAAAGTACATTTTGATAAAAAAAAATTATCGTATTTTATACATTCAGTAGTAAATTATCTGTAGTATTTTAAAGTTTGTGAAAATTTGAATTTTTGTTTTCTATGATATAAAACATTCAAATATGAATTGAGAAAAAGACAAGAAAACGAAATCTTTCATGCTAAATATTGATTGAAGGCACAACTTTAGATTATAGTTTATTTGGATGGATATTGGAGATTAATTAGGAGGTATGGAAAGTAATATTTATTGGTTGTATTGAATTGTCGTGGTAATGATAGCACTTCGTTTCTGATATTTTGTTATCTGTGATAATAGTATTAACTATAATATTTTTAAATTTTTATAAAATTATATATATATATATATACTTTAAATTATTATTCAAAATTATAAAAATTTTTTTTATAAAAATGATGAAATTGATTTAATTTACTTTTCTTTGAGATTATTTTAAAAATGAGAGGAAAACAGAAATTAGATAAACAGACTCCAATATTAAAAGTGGTAATTTTAGGTGACAGTAATGTAGGAAAATCATGTTTAATGAACAGATTTGTTAGCAATAGTTTTAGTGAACATACTCTACATACACTTGGAGTAGAATTTCTTCAAAAAGAAATCGATATCAATGGTGTGACTTACACATTACAGGTATATCAATCTATGAATTGTTTACAATTTGTGTTGTAATATTCTTTCTAATATTTAAGAGCTACACTATAAAAGTGTAGGAATTCGATTTTCTGTAACCAATTTAATATGTAAGAATATTCTTACTTCTAATTATTTTAAATGTTACAGATTTGGGATACGGCTGGACAAGAAAGATTTCGTACGCTGCGTACACCATTTTACAGGGGCACTGATATTTGTCTGTTAACATATGCTGTCAATGATATTAAAAGTTTTAGTAGTATAGATTCATGGAAAAAAGAATTTTTACAATACTCTAGAACTACTGATGAAAACTTTCCATTTCTTGTTGTGGCTACTAAAGTAATTGTAATATTTTTAAATAATTTGATCTGTTAAATAAATAACATGTATTACTTATAGTACATTAATAATAAAATATTTTATGAAACAATGACAAAAGAAAAAATTAAAAAATAAATAATAAATAGAGTGTAATAAAATTAATGTGAAAAAAATTATGACCTTTATTAGATCAAAGGCACAATTCCAAATTTTGGTTTTATTTGCAAGAAAAAATGAATAAGTCAAGTTAAATAATAAAATATTTTATTTTATTTTAAACCTATCCTATATCATATATATTAAGTTGAGAAGTTAAACTTTTATTTATTTTTTTCAATATTCAAATTTATATTTATTTTGCAAGAAAAATAAAAAATGTTAATTTTGATAACATCATAAAACATAGTTATAATATTTCATGTATAAATATTTTTTGCCGATCTGTCTCAACTAGGCATTTGTATAATTAAATAATGTTTATCAGTAGTCAGTACTCATATTCACTTTAATGTCAATAAATTATAATAATAACAAATGACCAAATTTCAATATGAAAAAAATTATTTTGTAAAAAAAGCCATGTGGGGCCCTTATTCTAAAAATGATTTAATTTATATTTGAACATTCACAATATTAATTGTGAAATTTTAATTTCAATACAAACTAATAAAATAAAACATGCACTTAATATTAACTGAACCCTTTTGAAATTTTTCAAGTTAGTGAATAATTAATAATGTTATTTTAAAGTATAACAGTTATTAATATTTACTAAGAGCTTGACAAATAATTTTTTTGTTGAAGTATTGATTATGGGTTTTTATGCTATTCAGGTTGGATATAGATTTTTAAATTATATTATTTTTGTGATTTTGGCATTTATTTGAATATTGTATGGTCTGTGTATAGAGTTTTTTCGGGTATTAGATCTTCTTTGGTTAATGAAAATAAAACACATTTTTTTTACTCGTAAATTTAATAATCTTTTATTTTGGGTTTTTTCATTTGCAGTATCCTATAGTTTTTGTTCAACATAATGTCTTTTTACTACTATTGAGAGATATTTTTAATGACTTAAAGATTGTATAATAAGTAGAAAACAGAATTATTACATTATTTCAGTTATAAAATTGTTATGGTTGGTTATATAAAATTTTTAATGATATTGATTTTTTTAGAAAATTGAATTTTAAATTATTTTTATATAAAACAGTTAGTAGTGCTTTTAAGCATTTATTAACATAATATGATTTTGCTAAATTTATAAAAATATACATATATTGTCTTTTTCTAGAAAACTAATGATTTTACAAGAACAAATGTAACACTTTTTTGTTCTAAATATTTAGATCTGTAATTATATCCTGTTTTTCTATTAGGAGTTTCACTTATTAGTTTTATAAAATAATAAAAAGACGAAAATAATACTCCAATTGGTCAATCTTCAAACCCAAATGGACATGGGTTAAACTTATCTAATTGACTTGAAATTTTTAATAGTTTCTTTGTACACCTATAACACAACTCTGAATAAAAATTTCTAAAGTCTGAATATAAAAAACATCCTAATCAAGCAATCTCAATTTAATCAATAATTTTTAATCCTTATAATTCATTGTCCTATATTTTTTATTTTTAAACTTTTTGATAAATTTTAAATATATTAAAGTTGAAAGTTTCCTATTACGTATTTACGTTGGGAGAATTTAACACATTTTAATTATGTATATTTAAAAATTATTGCATCACTCCTGTATTCAGGTTGATGTTAATCATAGAGCAATTTCAGAAGAAGAAGCTAGTCAGTGGTGTTCCAATTTTTTAAACACTCCTTATGTTGAAACAAGTTCTAAAACAGATAAAAATATAGAGACTGCATTTGCTATGGCCGTTGAACTCTGGGCTTCTTTAGAAAGACCTTCAGAAACTAAAATTTGCCATAGCACTTTAGTAAAATTGTCCAGACCAATTAATGGTAGTGCGGCATGCCCTACAGCTGAAGTAGTAACATCAAAATGTTGCTAAAAACTTAATTTGTGATAAAAATAACTTAAACTATACCTTTATATTTAATTGAACTGAATTATAATAATAACATTTTATATTCTTCATTTACAATCATAATTATTTGTAATAAAAATAATTATTTAAAGAGTATTTCGTCTTTATTAACAAGAAATTATTAGCAATTTGCATAGATTAATGATATTCTATGGCTAAATTTATGTTATAAATATAAACATTATTTTTTTTTTATATAATTTTTTTTCATTTAGCGGGTAATTTTAATATAAAACTATTGTCTTTTAAGTATTTGTTGACTTATTAATAAAATCTATGCATTTATTTTTTCAACTCTAATTTCATTTATTATGATTATTTTAGAAAGCTAAATATTGGGTTATACCTATTGATACTTCTTCTTTAAATCAAGTGTTGATTTCATTTATTTATCTATTGGCTAATAGTATTGCCATTACCTCTAATTGGAACCCAAAGGGTATTGTGCCTATTAACATACTGATATTTATATAAGGTTTTAATACCCAAATTTCAGCACCTATCTTTTCTAACTTCTTAAAACCGTCTGCATAGATTACAAACCCTCCATTCCTAGTCGTGTGGTTTATATTCTATTACCTACATGTTAAGATCTCAACTTTATAGGGGTCATTAGTTTGGAGAACAGGTTTGATACAGTCTGAGGGATATCACTGTATACTCTGATCTATCTCTTTTAGTATTAGTATCTCTTTTACCATGTTCTATAGTTTTGCTATCCATATCCACATATCTAATTTGTGAAATCTTAGTACTATAGCTTTGGCGTGAGCTTTAACTTCTAGATATAAAAAGGGTAGTTCAATTAGTACCTCCAGTGCCATCATTGGTATGGTTCTTATCGCTCTAGTAATGGCTATAACAACTATTTTTTTAATGTGTTCAAATTCTTTTTTGGATGTAATAAGTGTTACTCTGATAAGGCGTCATACATAATCATAGGTTTAATCATTGAAATGTATAGCCAACATATAACTCTTGAATTTAGATACAAAATATTTTTTAAGTTTTGCTGCATGTCCACAATGTAGCTTTCTCCTTTTGCTTTCCATGTCAATACCATATACTGATAGGCGATGTCCTAAGTAAGTTACTTCCCTAAAACCAAATTTATATTTAGAAACTTTTAAAGTTAATTTAGTGTTTATCAAAACCAATAAAACTTGTTTGAATTTATCTAACATGTCTTCTTTGAACATTACTGATATGAGCATATTATACAGACATCACGATTATGTAAATGATGACAGATATGCTACAATAATCAAGAAATTCGTATAGTGCATTAACTATCTCAAATACCATACACTTAACTGTCAAGTCTCATTTGGAGCAATGAAAGCAGTTTTTTTTTTTGCTTGTTCTGTTAAAGATACTTGAAGATATCCTGAAGTTATGTCCAATTTACAAAATAATTTAGTTATTTGTGTGTGTCAATTCACGACAAGACGAGGTTGTCTCTTTTTTATGAACTAATAGCACTGGTGACGCATACACAGTTATAGTTTCTAAAAGAATCCCCTATTCTTTCCATTTATCAAAAATCTGATTAATAATATTACTTTGCACTAGTAAGATATGGTCTACACATAACTAGTTGAGTATTTTCTACAATATCTACACTAGCATCTGTTCAATTCAGTTCCTTTAAATTGAAAGCAAAAGAAAACCTAAAATTATTAAGGTTTAATATAGAAGTTTATCATTATCACCCAAGGTTGAATCAAATTTAACTATGTCTACCTCTAGTACATTACAAAATTTTTCCTCCACTTTTTAACATATCTTTAGTTGTCTTCATTTACTAAAACACCATTATTGGTATCCACAATATTTACTAAAGAAACCTAGAAACAAATGCATTTTACAAGCCTATCGAGTTTTTTCAAAGATTTTTTCTTTAAATTTGTTTGAAAAAATTATATTGCATTGATAAGATATTGCAAAGTTAAATTTAAGGTGACAATACCCTATATAAAGTGGTATAATTTCATAATATTAGGTAAAAATGACCATGAAGTGATGAATATTTAATTACTAATTCATACATATATACATATTAATCTATACTACTACAGGTAAATGTGACAAAAATGTGCATAAGTTTATATTTTTAGTTATGATCAAACCTAACATTGCTGGTGCTACCTAAGTATGTATTACCGACTCGGTAATAATTTGAAACTACCAATTTAAGTAACTATACTTTTATTGTAAACAAATTTAATAAAAATTTATAACTACATTACTGAAGATTACTCTTACAAGAGAATAAGAAAATTATCAAAAAATAGCAAGCTAAACATATTAAAAATCAAGCACAACAGTAAAAAACTTTGAAAGCTCATAACTTTTAATCTATGATTTACCGACAACATTTTTTTATTTATTCTTAATCAGAATATTAAACTAAATCGTTCTAAATGCCTAAACATTAGCAAATAAAACATCACTAGTAGGCTAATAAATAATAGAGTTTTTGTTATTATAGGCCATCTTCTATCACTTATTGTTCAATTCATTATCCTTGGTTTTACTTTTGAGAGGGTTTACAATTTTTAAGATATTCTAATAATTTAATTTTTTCATGATTGTATATTTCATAATAAACAACTTCAAGTATAATCAACAAATGTTTTCAATCTAAGTTTGGTAAAATGCATTTTGACTGACTAGCTACAAAATTAGTTTATTTATTTATTCTTCTCTTAAACGATTTGAAAATTATTTTATTTATAGCGTTGGATTAACTAGTTTTGTTCTTTGGAGGTAATATAATACGAGGTAGCCCGTCATATTAAATTCGAATTATTGACGGAGCCTGCAAATCTCGTCAGAATATTATAAACTATATTCTGAAGCATTGAAGACTTGAATTTGTTATCTGAAAAAATATAAAAATCATCTAAATTTGAATAGCATCATAGTTTGCCCATTAGAGCTACATTACTGGCTATATTTAATACTATTTATATATATATATATTTAAATATCAAATTCCATACAATATTATTTATATGATCATCTAGCTTTGATAATGAGGTATGTAATCCATTATCCGACAGAGCGCATATACGTGACCAAAGAGTACTAGATTTTTTATTATCAATTTTGCTTAAAAATTCTCTGGTCCTACTATCAATATTATTAATAACTGAGTTTTGACTTCCATTATTACTACCACGTTAATTTGCATTGCAGCGTACCTATGTATTATTCGATTTTCGTTTGAATACAGAATGTCGTTTACTTAAGTCTTCTGCAGCCCAATTACCTTAATATTAGACTCTAAGGCCCGCGTTGTAATTTTAATTTATGCCCAGTTTTTAAATTACATAGTACGGAAAATAGGTTATTGGTAAGTAATTGATATTTACTTATAATATATTATCTAATTATATGAACTTACAATAGAGTATATTAATGTTATCTATCTAATCAATAAACTTAAAATGTTTAATTAATATTTGCAATTAAACTTAAAAGTTTTAAAATCTAATGAATGAACTAATTTTATATTTCCTACAACTCTATTGATAACCTTTGGACGTACTTAATATATTTGTTAAAATATGTTTGGTACATCATAAATTAAAAAAAAACCATTAGTAATTTAGATATCTTTTTTCATACACTAATAACATTGCAATTGAAATGAAACTATTAAAATTATAGTAATTGAGTTATGGCATCAAAACATCGTGAATGGGATCCAGCTTGTAAAGTTTATATTGGAAATTTAAAAAGTAATGCTAGTAAATACGAATTGGAAGACTTATTTACTAAGTATGGACCTCTAAAAAATATTTGGATTGCTCGAAATCCACCTGGTTTTGCATTTGTTGAATATGAAGATCCTCGTGATGCTGAAGATGCTGTGCGAGGTTTGGATGGAACGTAAGAACACCAATAAATATATAATTAAAAAAAAAATTTCAGTTATCCTTATAGCTTATAAATTCCTATCTGTACTACATAACATTAAGTATAAATTAAAAATATAGTTTCAAAAATATGATTTTAATAGAGTTAATTAAGGTTAACTTTTAAATTTTAATTTAATAAAATCAACTAAGATTAACTAAAAATTTATATAATTTTCATGATGAATTATTTTCAGTTATCCCTGTCAGACTAATATTGATGGTGATTTCTATAATTCTGAGTTGTTAGTTTACTTGAATCTTTATTAAAGGAATAATATGTTTGTTATTTATAATCAACAATTTGTAAGATTTACCTAATATAGTCATGTCAATTGTTAAATTTAAGAATACAATGTGTAAAATTAATCAAAAATTTATATAATTTACATGATGAATTATTCTCAGTTATCCCTGTCAGACTAATATTGATGGTGATTTCTATAATTCTGAGTTGTTAGTTTACTTGAATCTTTATTAAAGGAATAATATGTTTGTTATTTATAATCAACAATTTGTAAGATTTACCTAATATAGTCATGTCAATTGTTAAATTTAAGAATACAATGTGTAAAATTAATCAAAAATTTATATAATTTACATGATGAATTATTCTCAGTTATCCCTGTCAGACTAATATTGATGGTGATTTCTATAATTCTGAGTTGTTAGTTTACTTGAATCTTTATTAAAGGAATAATATGTTTGTTATTTATAATCAACAATTTGTAAGATTTACCTAATATAGTCATGTCAATTGTTAAATTTAAGAATACAATGTGTAAAATTAATCAAAAATTTATATAATTTACATGATGAATTATTCTCAGTTATCCCTGTCAGACTAATATTGATGGTGATTTCTATAATTCTGAGTTGTTAGTTTACTTGAATCTTTATTAAAGGAATAATATGTTTGTTATTTATAATCAACAATTTGTAAGATTTACCTAATATAGTCATGTCAATTGTTAAATTTAAGAATACAATGTGTAAAATTAATCAAAAATTTATATAATTTACATGATGAATTATTCTCAGTTATCCCTGTCAGACTAATATTGATGGTGATTTCTATAATTCTGAGTTGTTAGTTTACTTGAATCTTTATTAAAGGAATAATATGTTTGTTATTTATAATCAACAATTTGTAAGATTTACCTAATATAGTCATGTCAATTGTTAAATTTAAGAATACAATGTGTAAAATTAATCAAAAATTTATATAATTTACATGATGAATTATTCTCAGTTATCCCTGTCAGACTAATATTGATGGTGATTTCTATAATTCTGAGTTGTTAGTTTACTTGAATCTTTATTAAAGGAATAATATGTTTGTTATTTATAATCAACAATTTGTAAGATTTACCTAATATAGTCATGTCAATTGTTAAATTTAAGAATACAATGTGTAAAATTAATCAAAATAATGTATAATTTACATGATGAATTATTCTCAGTTATCCCTGTCAGACTAATATTGATGGTGATTTCTATAATTCTGAGAAGTTAGTTTACTTGAATCTTTATTAAAGGAATAATATGTTTGTTATTTATAATCAACAATTTGTAAGATTTACCTAATATAGTCATGTCAATTGTTAAATTTAAGAATACAATGTGTAAAATTAATCAAAATAATGTATAATTTTCATGATGAATTATTTTCAGTTATCCTTGCCAGACTTATAATTATGGTGATTTCTATAATTCTGAGTTAAAAAAATAATGGATAATTGTTTTGTGTTCCAAGTGTTGTTTGTTAGATCTATTTATGTCTTCATTCATATTCTATCGAATTGATCTGATTTCTAGGTTTATTCTTAAAGTAATTTTTGAGGTTGAATCTAAATCTTGAGGAGTTAAAACTGAAGAATAAATTATATTAGAATATATTCGTATTTATGTATTAATTATTTTATGTTGCACGGTATGAAATGTTTCAATGATTAAATATTTAATAGTTATGAAACATGTTTTTTATTTATATTACTATGAGCAAAATTTGATAACTATTTCTAATAAAATGATGTATTTTTTTATAATGAATATGTATGTAATTATTTATTAAACATTAGTTTATTAATGTAATTATTCTTCCCTTTTTAACAATGGTTTAATTATTTTAGGAAATGTGGGGATTCAAGAATTGTTGTTCAGATGTCTACTGGAAAGCGTCGTGCAAAAGATAAATCACCAGACTATCGGTGAGTAAAATTAATTTTTTTACCGTTATTCATGTTAAAACATGAATAGTATATGTTATGTACATAATATTTTTGGTTTTTAATATTTAGTATTTTTAATAAATAACTCAACTTAATCTGCTTGTCTAATGATGTAATTTAACTTGTGTAAAGTTAATTTTTAATTATTTTTTTAAACCACATATTCCTAACTATTATTTTATTTACTGGTGAAAATTTTTCTAAATTAATAAAATTTAAAAACTTTTGGCAGGTTATTTTTTGTAGATTCAACTCTAATGCTTTCTTCATCATCATCACTTCTACAACCAACTTACATCACAGTATGACCAATTTGATCAAGGAACAAACATTTGGGGGTGTGGTCTTCTTATCCTCTTTCTAGCAATATTCATTTCATATACGAATAAAGTTTTGGCTCTATTGTTCATCAGTTGCAGTATAATTGATGAATTAGAATCCGAATTTCATCTTTCTAACTACTGTACAATACAATTTGAACAATCATCCCAATGCATCATTTTTACATCAGTCATCATTTGGGTTTAGTTAAATGTAACTTTAAATAATTAAAACTACTAGGATGTTTAATTTTATTTAAAATATATCTTAAATGTAGTATCTAAGTAATAAATTAATTCTAAAACAAATTTTGTAGTTAAATAAATTTATTGTTTGTTATTTCTTTATGATTTTTAGAAGACGATCACCACCTCGGCGTTCTTATCGAATGAGATCTCAGTCACGTTCAAGAAGTCGCTCTCCTTACAGACATAGAAGAACACGTTCAAGATCATATTCTAATGGACGATATTAATCTGAATGGTAAAAGATGTTTCTAGTTATTCATAAATGTAATTCTGTAATTAATTGGATTGGATTTATATATCTGTAATGATACTCATACAATTTTTATTAAATATATACCCAATTCTTGATTGAATACTAAAAAAAATGTATCAATTAGCTGTTTTCAGTAGATGTAAAATAATATTTAATGTTCTAATATAATTTAAACATTTTCTATCATACAGTAGTATTTTTAAATACTTTAACAAATGAAACAACCAAACTAATACGTCTAGCTATTTTTATGTAAAAAATATATTTTGTGTACAAATTATTATTATTATATGTATACAGAATAATTGAAATCTGATAAGACTCATTTTCTATGGAACTATTGAGAATTTTTACTATTTGTAAAGAGAAAAAATATTGGGTTCAAAAACAACAATATATAGTTAAATAATTTTTTTATTTGTCTCTCCAGGGACAATGATCTATAATTATAATTCTCTTAAATGAAAACAGCTATTTTTAACTTTTAATATTATAGAAAAAAAAATAACAAACAACTTTATTCTTATAAAGTTTATAAGTTTAGATTTGAGAATAACAAGTAACTAAAAAAATATTGTCTATTTTTATTCTGCGAGTTATTCACTGGGTTCTGATAAAGTAATCATTGTATATATATACTTGAAATTTCAAATGACAAATTATATATCTAATTAGAGGTTACAAATTAAAAAAATATTGATTTAAAATTAGTTTTTGATTTTTTTGAAACCTTCTGTTTCAACTGAACTTACCAAATACATTTAATCTGTTATGTCGCTATTTATGGGTTGAGCCTAAATGCCCATCGACAGTATTCTAAGGGACCAACGGGGGATAGCTGGCTAGGCTATATCTACCTTAGGTACTGAAGTTTCCTATTTAATTTATATTCCCTTAGAGGAACTACCAAGGGTCGTTCTACAATATATATATATATAACACTTTAGGTTAACAACGATATAAATAAATATTTATTAAGCAATTGAAATATTAAATAGATAATACAACCTGCTGGACACCTAGAGATGTTATAATCCAACAGGGAGCTGACGGCGACACACACACACTATAATATACGGGGTAGCGAAGTTAAGTTAATTATCAGGCAAAAGTAGTGATCGCGAAGATGGTAAAATGTCAACTGTCGATAGGGATATCTTATTATGGCACATTGGCCGTGAATTGCAAAAAGTGTTTATGTGTGCAGTCCGCCCTCCTGTTAGTATTGCTGTATGTCACTGTGTTAATTATATATATATATATATATATCTATTAAACGGTACAACGATGTTATGGGAGACAGAGATATGGGCACATGCAAATGTGATCGTATCAAATCAATACTCTTTTCAAATAAATATTATTTGTATCACTTTATTTAAACATTGATTCTATTGTCAACAATCTTTAACTGCATTCCATCCAATTATAAAAATATTCATAATTTTTATTAATTAGAAAGTTTTCTATTATATATGCTAGTTATATATCTTGTAAGTCATTTTTTATTGTTAAGTAAATTGTTATTTAAAAAATGGGACTACTACCTTGGCAAAAAAAAATACTGCATGTTTTGTAGTCTAAGTATCTAAAACACCTCCTTTTTATATTTGTACCTATGGTTGATATTCCTAAAATGGATAAAAATAGTTAATAACTAAAAAGTTAAAAATATAGTCAATTTATAAATATATATATTTTTTTTATAGATACATGATATGCTACTACAACAATATGAGCAGTATAACTGAAATTTTATATTCACAGGCTAAATGTATTAATTATATTTTTAAATAAATATTTTATTAGAGTTATACAATTATGCTTATCAAATCTTATTTTTAAAAATGATTTGTTTATAATTGGTATTTAAATTTGTAATTAAATAATTAGTTCAGCTATGTTTAGTTAGTAGTGTAATTTTCTTACTGTTTAAATTTTTAAATTAATTAACTTCATCTAATGGATAATATTATTAAATATTAATGAACTAAAATTGTAACAAATTATATTAGTGTAAGAATTATGAATAGCAACTTAATATTACTATCAATGAAAATAATCATTACGTACTGTGTAGATTTAATTACAAAAGTAAATTAATGTCCATGATGAACAATGTTTTTTTTTATGTTCTATTATGTATATTATTTCTATATCCCTCATAAATTATAACAATATTACTTAAAACAATTGTATTATTTACAACTATGTTTTTATCATAATAAAGTTAAATAAATTGTGCTTTATTTATACATAAATGGCATTTTAAAAGTGATTATTTAAACAGTTAAATGATTGTGAATTATAAGTATCTATAGTTTTAAAAATAAATGTTCATTCATTATTGCTTTATAGATTAAAAGTAATAATTTTTTTTTATGTTTAAAGCAATAATGAGTTAGGGTTATTTAGGAGATTTTGTGACCCCCGCTTTACCCACTCACTCTCCAACACTATCTCTGGAAGAGAGTGAGGCGAGGGGGCCGCAAAGTCCCTTAATTACCCTACTTGAGTTTAAAATAATTTTTTTAAAGAGTTAATTTTAAAATAATTATGACTCTAGTACTTAATTGTATATATTATTTAATATAATAGTTTGCTTGGGTGAATAAAATGATGGAACATGTAGTCTCTAGCTTTGAAACTCTGTTACTGATATCACAATTTAGAAAACAATAGATCAGCTCACGAGTTTTAATCTTTTGATAAAAAAAAGTGAATTATATTGTCAGTGTACATTTCTTAAGTGTATTAAATTTCAGTATCAACTAAATTCATCTAAAAAAAAAACCCAGCACAGTGCTGTGACGGCACAGTAGCGTCATGGCATAGTTGGTTCCAGTATAGATGATATCTGACAGTGATTAAAATCGCTATCATTAAAGACGCTTCGATGTACATCTGTAGTGTTTAATTTTAATTAATTGGTGGATTATTCCAAAATCTACATGATCTGCTATTTCCTTATTTATATCCTGATTAAGATAAAGTATGTTGAATGAAAGAGGGATATAAATATTATTTTTCATGAAAAAATTTTATTGATCCATATACTTTTTAATAAGTTATAGCATTATAAAGTTGTAGCGAGGTGTAATATATAGAAGTAATAAACACTTTTACGATTTAATAACAACTATACTATATTACAACGAACTAACAAATAACAGCGAGAGACGAAGCGCGTTTAAGACAGAATGCGTAAGTGATTGACTGATCGATTGATTGACTGGAGCGACGATCTTGCCCTTAAATAGTCAGAGGAATCTTCTAGAGGCGGCGGCGGAACTCTCTAGAACAGAGGTTCTCAAAGTCAAATGAATCACGGACCCCCATCTAAAGACCTACAGTTTTAAAGACCTAACCCTGATATGTGCTCGCGGACCCCTGGGGGTCCGCGGACCACACTTTGAGAAACTCTGCTCTAGAACATTCGACCGCCACACGCTTATGTAGAGCGACGAATCTTCTAGAGGCGGCAGTGGCCGAACATTCGACCACCACACACTCCAAATAATAATAAATTAAACGTCACTTAAGTATTTTTTTTTTTCTCGCCAAAAAATTCCTAATTATGATTCTGGAACTTGAGCCCTCCCCGAAACCAATTTTGGATACGGGCCTGATGACGAGTAATATGTTATGAAATCATTTATGGTTTATTTGGTAATGGACTCTGCGGAGTCGGTATGTTGTAGGTGAGATGCATATAAAAGAATATTACATCATACAATTCAACGACTTACTATTGATTAAAATATAAATTTGAAAAATCGGTGTTAATATATTAAAATAAAAGAAAAGTAATCATTCATAAATGATACAATTGTTTTATCATTTTTAACGTGTTAATTATTAACAATTCATAAATTAGAATATGTGCAACAGAAGAGTGTAAAAAAAAACTTCATTTCCAATATAGCGTATTATGATTTTTAAATATCAATAAAATAAAATATTATATATCCATTTAAGCTTTAACATATTTAAATATAATAATTCGTTAATAAATATTTTTTAAAATAGGTAATTAATTTTTTTTCAGTTAAAAAAATGAATAGGTCAAGTCCCGGTTTCAGCGCTACTCATATATCAATAGTAAATTTAGTTTATATAATAAACTAAATATTTGAATCGCCGCATATTAATAATTTTTTATTTGCTCAAAAGCATTCTAAAAGTAAAAATTTCGGTAAAAAATTTTGTGGTAGCGTAAATTTTTAAGGGGCGATACGCATTTTTCGAGCCCCTGGCTACAAATCATTTTTTTAATAAAAGTGATTTTCAAAAACAAAATAATTAAACCCCTTTTATTAATAAACAATTCAAATGCGTTATTATTTTTGGCATATTAACGTCAAATAAATAAATGTAAGTTAAATGAAAAATACACCATAGTGTATCTCGGGCCAGAAAATATTAATTTAGTAAATTAAAAAAAATCTATGATCATGAATAATTTTTCAATACAGAACTCTAATTATTATGGTATTGAGTAAGTTTTACATTACTGGTACAAAGTTAAATACACAAGACGGATGTTATATATATTGATACATGCCAGTAAAATCAAAAAATAAATTGCTGTTCAAAGCATATACAGTGGATCCCCTTTATACTCGTGACTAGTTACATCGAATGTCTTCTTCTTCTTCCTCGTCTTAATCCTAACTACTTGGGATCGGCCACCCTTATCCTAAACTTCTACTTGACACGATCTCCCACATCATCCTACGCTCACATCAGCTCTCCATATCTTTTTTGATCTTCCTCTACCTCTTCTTCCTTCGACATTAATTTCTATAACTCGTCTATTTGTAAAATTATTTTGTATTTTCTATGTTGAGTAAGAGTTAACAATCAGAGGTGAATATTGTAGTTGGGTTTTTTCAACTTCAAATTTACAACTTTTTTTAATTATTGTTGTATTATTTAATTAACTACAACAATTTAATTAAATAAATGAAGTATTGATTTTAATCGAATATTCATTAGAATAAAAAACATAGCCGAGTAGACCGTTCTTACGTATTGCGTATTTGGACAAATATTTATAACCCCTTTGATTCCTGTCACAAATACCGACAACTGTCGGGAAGATGATGAATAACGAATACCGAACACTAGTACAAGTACACCATTTCCACAACTTGACAAGTAACGAATATTTGGCAAATAGACAAGTAGTGGCAACTCGGCTTATGGATTCATTAGCATTGCTAATACTTGGCTAGGGGCATTGCCATACACTTGGATAATTAACTTAAACCTTTATGTTATATGATTTGTGTTGCTGAAGTTATCTTTTATTAAGTTGATGACTTATTTCGTCATTTAAAAAAGAGTATTCATTTTTTTTTATAGAGATGTCAAAATAACTTTTCACAGGACGCTGATTAACTCTAGTCGGCATTACATGTCCCTTACCATGTTTTATCATTAACTGAACAGTAAACCAATATATTGGAAAAAAAATTATTTGTTTCCCTCTTTGAAAAATTACTGGATTTTTTGGTCATGTATGGAATATTTATTAAAATAAAAGACAAGGGAATTTTTAATCATTCCACGAGTCATCGAGTCCTGATAGATATACGTTATGTTACGACTGTGAAGTTAGCAATTCCTATATAGCAATTCCTTATCACATATAAAACTCAAATACACCGCTAGAGGGCGCCACTTATTTAAAATATATGTTTTATTATTAAATAGATTCGANAATTTTTATGATTGTTTCAATCCATTAACAATTTTTAATGATTCACTAATTAATTTTGAAAATAATATATATTATTATAATATAACGAATTGTCAAATCATAATTCATTTATTTAAAATTGTAACAAAATATAAAAATTATCAGAGCAACGCCCAACAACCAAACAAAATATAACCGTTGCATTATGGGATACTGATAACAACTTTGTAAACATAATCATCTATAAATGCAATCAATAAAAATCGTTATCAAAACACTGTTTAGTCTTTTATGTTTATATACTTGAAGAATAAAATTTGATGAGTTTACTTTATATTTAGCGTTTTAAATAGTTTTAAAACTCCAATATGTGTTTGTATTTTTATAATATTGTGTAAAGTAAGTACTCAAATTATTATGAAGATTAAAATTTTAACTTATATATAATTCGAGATTTTATTGTGAGAAGTATTTGTTATCATACAAAGATGTATTTAACAAATGTACTATTTTTAGCATTAATATACTTAACATGAATCGTCGCAGAAGAGCATCTTCAATTGCTAGTCGAGCAACTGATGATGAAGTCGAAAATTTTCCAATGGAGAATGCACGGAAAAAAAGAAGAGTGGATCCGGTAAATTAAATTTCAAATAATAAAATTGACAAGATGAAGATGAATTTATAAAAATATCACTTTAGTATTTTTATTTAAATTATTATATAATATTTATAGCATTTTGAATTATATTATTTTATACACATATATTTAACAAAAAAAAAAATTTTTTTTTGATTTTTATAATCATAAAAAATATATAGCTATCAACCCTAAAAGGTCACTCAAGGACATTTTCTTCCCATTTAAATAAATATAAAAACATGATTTTTAAAAATTAAAATACTCCATTTATGGTTATTGAAAAAAATCAAATTTAGATGATTATCTTTTTTAATGTGTGTTATTGATTTATGGAAAAATACAAAAACAATTTTTTATTTAGTTATAATTATATGCATATTTGTATACATTTAAATATCTGTGTTAAAATAGCAAAAGTTTACACTGCTTTTTTCAAATATCAAAATTTATTCAAATATGTTTATAATTAAGAGAATTGATAGAAATGTATTATTATTTGCTCATATTCTAGTGTTACATTATTAATGTACCCAAACCATAGACTTATTAATAAGTAAGCATTACATCAAATAAAATTAGTGTCCTCAATATTAAATACATTTTGGGAATCCGTTAACGCATAAAAGTATTTTCTACCAAAGAAAAAATAAATAAAATAAGTAACTATACTTATTTTATTTTATTTTTTATAAAAATTGTAATTACTTGGTATCCATTAAAATCTTCAAATGTTGTATACTATTTTATATTTGATTCATTAATATTGATGAAAATTAAGTATGCTACATTTACTAATTGATTTAACCTTTCTATTTTTTGGACTTAAAACATCCGATTTTCAAGTTTGGAAGCTACAATAGTTTTAGGACCAACGACTAAAAAATTATATATACTTATAAACTTATTATAAAATATAAATATTTTAGATTGATGTAGTTCAATCAGTTTATGATACATTGCGTAATTTCAAGAAAGAAGATGGATCATTATTATGTGATAATTTTATAAGAGCACCAAAAAGAAGACAAGAACCTTCTTATTATGATGTATGTATTTTATTTTTGTTTTATCTGGCCAAATAATATTTTATTTTTTTTGTCTTCCATATATGTTAGGTTGTTCCTAATCCTATTGACTTAATCAAAATTCAGCAAAAAATTAAAACTGATGAGTATGATGATATAGATGATCTTCAATCTGATATTGAATTGTTAATTAACAATGCTAAATCATTTTATAAGGTAATTCATTTTTTTATCATATTTTTACTCATGATCATATTATATTTTATATGAATAATATATCATCTATATTTGACATTTTTAAAATTTTTTTTTATTTTTTATTAATTTTTAAAAATAAAAGTATTGTTATATATAAATATAATGTTTAACATTTTCAAATAATTTTTATATTCTTTTGGTATTAATTGTTGAAAAGTTTTTATTTACTGATACTTCTAGGTTAAGTATTTAAATATTTATTCTTTTTAACTTAAAAGTTACATCAGTTATAATAATAATTATCAATGTTTAAGTCTTGAAATAAAAATAAATATGTTATTTTCACTGTGCCAATGATACAAACTATTAAAATTGTATGTTGCAAATAAAAAAATTAAATCATAATAATATGTATTATTATTATATTATTTATATCATATTTTAAAATAATTTAATTCTTTTAGAAGACATCTCAAGAATATAAAGATGCATCAGATTTATGGGATGTGTTTATAAATACTAAAAGTAATTTGTTAGACAGGGAAGGAACCCCAAAAGAAAAACTTGTCATTAGAGTTGGAAGAGTTGTAATTTTTTTCAAATTTAAATTATTATTTTATTTTTTTAGTTTTTAAAGAGAAATCAACTATAAAAATTATATTCAACTTTTTAGGGTAAAAGAGGAGGATCTTCTGCATCTGTTTCAAAATCAGAGCAGACTGACGAGGAAGAAAGTAATTCTTCATATGCTGGAGGAGATGAAGAATTAACAATGTATGAAGACTTATTTACTGCAGTAATGTCAGCTACAGATAATGATAATAGACTATTATCAGCTGCATTTCAACTTTTGCCGTCTAAAAAAGTAGGTTATATGCAATGATTATTTATTTGTTAATTATTTAGTTTAATAAGTATTTTAATATTGTATTTATACATGGTGATCTCAAATCTATGTATTTCAGATGTATGGAATATATTACAAATATATATATTTTTTAATTAATTAAACATTTTTTATTAATAATTTATTTTAGAATAGGCATGTGCACAAGTCAGTAAAAAGTTATTTTGCTCCTTTTGGGGGGTACTTTAATTTTTTACAATTGACAATGAGTAGCCAAATAATTAATGTAAAAAAGAATGTATATATATATTTACTTATTTTTACTTGTTGTATCATTAGTAATATTTTAATATATTCTATTTTTCTGCTCCATTGATTTTTCTCTCAACTATTTAAGGTCCTTCACAATATTAAAATTTAATCATTTCTATTATTGTTTCTTTACATCAATGAGTTTAATTTCTCATATTTTATTAAACGACTATTCATAAATCTTAATCCATTAATTTTTCTATATTAATGTATTTTAAATATTAATATTTACTAATTTTAGATGTTTTATTTTGTTTGTATTTTAGCGTTATCCAAATTATTATGAAGTTATAGAAAATCCAATAGATCTCAGATCAATTGCACGTAAAATACAAGATGGAAAGTATAGTAACTTAGCTGAAATGGAAAGAGAACTTTTATTAATGACGAAAAATGCTTGTTTGTTTAATGAACCTGGATCTCAAATATATAAAGATGCAAAAGCATTAAAAAAAGTAATAACTAGTAAGAAAATTGAAGTTGATCATGGAAAATATGCACCTAGCAAAAGTAGTGAAAGAATTAGGTAAGAATGTTTTTTGATTATAAAAAGAGTAAGTTATTTAAATGAAAATACATATGCTATGCAATATAGATTTATTATACATGAATTATATTTTACACTTTATACCTTGCAAAAATATTAATTTTTCAAAAATAAAATGGTATTGAAGTTCTAGAACAATTTAAAATCAAATGTTTAAATCTTAGTAAAAACAAGTGCCTATTTATTGCAGATTTTTATTTTATATCCTTAGTTTTTTTATATGTTAAAATAATAAAAATTGATAATCAGAATTTTTAAGTTAAAAAAATGTAGGATTTTTTCTTAGCAGAACAATAAAAAAAATTGTTTTTTTAGAATAGCAATATTATTATAACATGACATTAATATCTCCTAAATAAAAAACATTTTTTTGCAATAAATTATATTGTTGCACATCACTAGTTAATTATAAATTAAATGATGTAAAAAAATTTAACTGAATTTTAAAAATAATTGATGTATCTGATTTTTCATAAGTACTTTTAATTTCTGTACATACAAAATGAATGAATATGCCAATATTATTACTACTTAGGGATAATTTTTACACTTAATATCATTCAAATTAATTTTTAGAGCTAAAAGAATGAGAGGCAGTCAAACATCTATGTCAGCAATAACAGCTGCTTTACAATCTGAAGATGAGGAAGATTCAGACTTGGATGAAGATACTGTAACAGATAGTCAAAGTAGTATTGAAACACCAGATAATCCAAGATGGCAACTTTATAATGCTGTTCGTTCTGCTACTGGCCCTCATGGTATACTTTTTATTTTATATTTTTAAATGATTAATAATGTTACTATTCAAAATAGGAAACCTACTAAGTGATTCGTTTTGGAAACTGCCTTCCAAGAGATATTATCCTAATTATTATCATGAAATTCGAAACCCACTCTCACTTATGCAGATTGGAAAGAAGTTAAAAGTAAAAAGCTATTTTAGAAGATAGAAAGAGGTAATAAATAATATATTTTATTAAACATTATTTTGTGTCTATAGAATGGTGACTATGGAACAGTAAGTGAAGTTGCTGGTGATATGAACATAATGTTAGAAAACGCAAAAAAATATTTTGCATCAGATACAAAACAATACAAAGTAATGACATTTTTTATTTAATTGTGTAGTTAGTATCTAATAGTTTTGAAAAACTTTTGCATTAAACACGTTATTTATAAACTAAAAATATTTTAACAATGTAGGATGCTGTAAAATTGCAAAAAATTATGCAAACTAAGGCACAAGAGCTGTTAGACTTAGGCCATCAAGTAACTATATTCATAGTTTTATTTTAATCTTTAAATTATTTTATAATTTTTCATTTAATTAGTATTCAGACAGTGAAGATGATTCTGCTGATGAAGAATCAAATCAAACTATCAGACAATCTAAAAAATTCAATCGCTCCCCACGATGTCTTACTCGTGGTAAATATTTAAATAATATTCCACTCAAAAGACGTTTATATGCACTCTGCAAGTGCCTAATGGATTACACGGTAATATTAATAAGAAACACACAATGAAGACTAAACAATAAAATAAACATTATTTTGTTTTAGACTGAACATGGTAGAGTTCCCATGCTAATGTTCATGGAGAGACCGTCAAAAAAACTCTATCCAGACTATTATAAAGTTATAGCTGAACCAATTGATATGCTTACTATCGAAGAAAAAATTAAACAAGAAAAATACAATAGTGAAGATGAAATTTTAAGAGATTTTAAAGTAATTATTTTTAAAGAATAAGAAAAGAAATAACTTTCAATATACTATTTTTTGAAAGATAAGTATTTTTCGATGGAATATAGAAATATTTTTTTCAAGTAATGTTTGTACTACAAAGGGAAACTATCACAATTCTATTTTTTTATTATAAATTTATTGGATTAAAAATAAAAATGGCCTTGTAATGTTTTACCTCTAATGTACAAATAAAAATACATTATCACATTCTCATAGATAATTTTTACAGATTAACTTATCTCTTATATTTCTTATGCTGACTTGCTTATTTTGTATATCTTCTTATTTAAAAAAACAATACATGAAATATACAATATTTTAGATTTTAATGTCTATTATTTTTAGATCAGTTATTGTTAATATATATATTTCACTTTTAAAATTAGAAAATTTTAAAGATTATCTGTATTGTCAGTTGGTGTATTTATAATGTTAACTCATAACAATGTGCCTTACTACCATACTTAAAGCATAATTGATAATAAATGCTGTATATCTATGTCTAGTGAATCCATAAAAAATCAATGAGCTACCTCTATTTGCAATCCTTCATGTAATCCTATATTTGTATATTAACTTAAAAATTTGAAACTTGAAATTTTTATATCTAATAGATAAACAAAGTTACATTAAAAATTCAAATTTCATTTACTATTAAAATAAAATTTCAAAAAATGTTATTAAATTAAAAGCCTATCATCCTCCAATTAGAAAAAACAAAGTTGACATTTTTACAAGTCTTAAAAGATAAACCAAAAAAATATTAAATAGTTAATAATTCCAGAGTAATATGTAATTAAAGGTAACCAAAAAAAATCACAAATTATTTTTATTTTGTGAGTAATTTATGGGTGTATGATAAAAAAATGACCCTGTATATGTTTGTGTATGTAAACAGATATGAAGTATGAATTAATTTAATATTAAATTTGATATTAAATGTATTTATTACAGTTAATGTTTGATAATTGTCGTCAGTTTAATGAAGAAGGTTCTTTAATTTATGAAGATGCAAATACTTTAGAAAAAGTTTTATTAGACCGTTCTAAAGAATTAGGACCAGTACCACCAAAATCAACCAAAATGTAAGTTTTAAATAATTATAAAAATACCAAATGTATAATTGTCCTATTTTTTAATCTTTATTTAGTACAACAAATTCTGTTTTAAAATTTGGAAGAAAATCTCAGCTTCCACAAGCAACCCTTCAAAAAATGCGTACACTGTTTAATACAATTAAAGACTATAAAGATCAAAAAGGACGTTTACTTTCTATAATATTCATGAAATTACCTTCTAAGAGTGAATACCCAGATTACTATGAAGTTATAAAACGACCTATACATTTAGAAGTCATAGCACAAAAATTAAAAAATAATTTATATGAAGGTCTTGATGATTTAGCAACAGATTTTGTTTTAATGTTTGATAACGCATGTAAATATAATGAGCCTGATTCCCAAATATATAAAGATGCTCTAACACTACAAAGACTTACATTACAAACTAAATTGCAATTGAGAGCTGACGAGGATAGTACACCAGATGTACAGAGTGCTGTACAAGAATTGTTGACTACACTATTTACAAGTGTATATAATCATCAAGATGAGGAAGGACGGTGTTTTTCAGATTCAATGGCTGAACTGCCTGAACATGATGATGTGGATGGGAATAAGTAAATTTTGTTCTTAAAACAATAGTTAGTATCATTTATATTTTATGTATATTTAGAGTGAGAGGTTTGTCTTTGGATTTAATCAAAAGAAGACTAGATGGTAATCAATATAAACGGTTAGATACATTTCAAGATGATTTATTTGCGTGTTTAGAACGTGCCCGTCAATTATCACGCACTGATTCTCAAGTATTTGAAGATTCAATTGAATTGCAATCATATTTTATTAGACAAAGGTATGCTTATCTTATAATTTTCACAAATTTTACCAGTTTTAATTATTATTAAAATCTATATCTATATCTAAAATCTAATTATTTTAAAATCTTATGATTTTAAAACATCTTATAAAACCAATAGTCTGTGATGTTATTGTTTTTATTATAATAAAAAAAAATCATAGAAGTGAACAGTTTTTATTTCGTAAGAACTATTCAAAAATAAGTATTAAAATTATTATAATAAATAAGAGATGATTCTAAACATTTTTTAAGAAAGAATATGAAATAAAAAGTATAATTCCATTAAACTATTTTGTAAAATAATCTTATATTAAAATATGTATCCAGTATAAGTATTTATTATTAAAATATTCTGCTCAATATAGATTTTTATATTTTCAAAGACTCTTGAAAACTTTGGTAAAATTTATATAAAAAAAATATTCATGGTTAACTTATTAATTTGTATATTATACATAGATAATCCTAATGACTTCAAAACTTATATAAGTTTTCTATTTCATTTTAAGAAATGTTGAATAAAATAAAATTTTTGTATGAAAACTTATAATATTGAAGACATTTTCATTTATATATAATGATTTCTATCATTTTTTTTTAAATTAAATTTAACATTGATTGAACAACTAAATAATATAGATTTCAATCTATAGTTCAAAAGTCAGTCATACTAAAATTTATATAAATCTTGATTCTTTAAAATTAACAGTTTTTATTTATTGTTTTTGAAATCTAATAATCATATGCACATTGATCCAAGAGGGTACTAGAAAAAATTTTTAAAAACTTAATTAAAAACTTTTAACACTGACATCTCTGAATAAACTACAAAAAAAGGAGTTTAGAATTTTTTTGTTTTAGTGTATTCATTTTAGGGCAAATTAGTTAGTATTTTACTTTTAGATGCAGTATAATAAAACAACAATCCAATATAATAAAACCATTTTTTTATGAGATTAAAAATTTTTTTTTTAATTTCAATTATAATATATATTTTTTAATAATTTAGAGATGAAGTATGCCGTAATGGAGACTTATTAAATTCACCAGCTTTAAACTACTCTTTACTAGATTTATCTTTATCTGTTAATGATATGAGGGAACGAAAAATGGCAGAAGAATCTATCAGTGGAAATCTGGAAGAAGATGAAACCAAAATTGAAGACATTCCACAAGAAGTATTATTAGATTTAACTTCAATTATGAAATCATCATTACTATTTATTATTTTTGCAAAATGATTTTAGGAACAAGAAAATGAAGATAGTTCACAATCTCCAATTGCTGGCACTACTGATGATTCTGTATGTGTAAATCAACAGGTGTACAGAGTAGGTGATTTTGTTTATGCTGAACCTCAAGAACGAGGTCAAGACCTAATAATATTAAATATTCAACGACTTTGGACAAATCAAGAATCTCAACAAATGTTATATGGAAACCACTTTTATAGACCTAGTGAAACATATCATTTATCAACAAGAAAATTCTTAGAAAAAGTTTGTACTTCTTTTTTCTTACTAGATACAATATTTTTTAGTACATAAGTTTATTTATATACATAGTGGTTGATTTTTTTATTTTGAATCAATTTTTCTAAAAATATTAGTAATATTTAAAAAATTAAATTTTTTTTTACTGCATACATTTCTCCATTTACTAATTATTATTTGCTAGATTTACCCCTTATACGTCAAATATATAATAACATAACTATTTCTAATGACAACATATCTATTTTACCATTTAACATTTTAAAAAATTATTGACAATATATAAACTAGGGATAAAGCACAATTTATTATTAGTATTATCATTCATCATTTCTTAGTTACAAAGCCCATCCTTCCTACCTAGTTAAAAAAATACTAATGTGTTCTAAAGATCTTAAACAATATTTTTTTGGACATTAATATTTTAATATTTCAAATACATGCATAATTGAACAAGATCTATTCATAAATTGTTATCATCATAGGTATACACTATACCATATGTAGATAATTGATAAAAAATGCATATTTTTCTATAACATTATTACAATGTTCATAAGATTGTAATTTTTAAATTATCAATATACTCTAGAGGTAAACTATCACAAGCTTCATTCAAATATGTAATAATAACCTCTAGTATACAGATATTATAGCTTGTTATAAATTAAAATTGTGCAATTTTTTTAATTTTATATACTTTTATTTTGAATTCCTAAAAAATAAAAAAGATTTCATTGTATTTAAATATTTTCTTTAATTTTTGAATATATTATTGACCATTTTATGGTTCATTATGTATATTATTTGAAATATAATTTAGAAAAACTAATTATGGCACAGTACCGTGTTTCTCTCAACCACACATGCTATCAATCTATATGAAAGTGTATCAAGATCTGAATTATAAGTGCACAGTGATCTAGTGGTAAGGTTTGTCTCTATGATACCTTGGGTCATAGGTTCTAATCCTGTACCCTGCCTCTTTTTTCACTGGCAATACATTGTAATTAAAAAACTTTGTTTAATTATATGTTAATTTAACTAGTCAATCACTTTCTTTAAGTTAATCATCTAAAATCCACTAGACTGAATTTTATTTCTGTACCTATAAGTTTTTGGTGATTATAATGATGTATACAATACAATCAGTCTATGATGAAATTGTGACTGCTATTTGAAATGCATATTGGTCATTCATTTTAGTTGCCTATAACTGTTCAATGTGACTTTATAAGAACTTATAAAACTGAATTCTGTAAATAATTGGGATTTCAGATCCATACATTTTTAAAAAATTAAGCTAAAGAGTTATTGAAACTGGTACTAATTAAAACTAAATATATATAGAATGTTCAGTAAGTAAGAAAATGGGTTTCTATTGTTTTCATTGTTTATAACAATTGACCTGTTTTCTTACTTTATGAACACTCTGTATAACTCTTTCTGTTATTAGATTAAATTTTATCACAACTGATTATAATGGATACCTTATTATTAAACTGTAATAAACATAATTATTGGTAACAAAAATATAATTGAAAAAATAATCTTTCTATTGAATAAAATATAACTAACCTAGGTCTTATAGTTGTCAATATGTATATTAATCTATTATCATAAGAGAACACTTGAATCACTTTTGTGTATAAAAAATTAATAATTTTAAAATTCAATATAGATATCATAAATGGGATATTTTAATAGAATATTATTCAATGATATTCATTAATAATGGTCCATTCATAATATCTTAATAATTGTTTAAATGTTATTATCAACTAATAATTATCCAATATGTATGTTGCTATTGAAGAAATAAAGTTAGTACCTTAATAAAATATAATGTATAATTATAAAAAAGTACTTAATTATTGATAAATTAATCAATATGGTCGTTTTGTGTACAAAAGTGATTATTAACATTTTATCTAAATGAGTTAATACATGAATTAAATGAAGACAATTTGTATTTTAAAGTACACCAATGATAACTTTCATTTTAAAATTCTATTTTATAGATTTTACAATAATTGTTTGAGTGATAAGATTTTTTAATGGAATTCCTGAATAATTCTTTAAAATCTACTTACCTTTTTTTACGTTAGACCATCATTATAATGTATATTTAAAAAAAAAAAAATTTTATGTTTATTATTATCATTATTATTCTATAACAGAAATGTGTAGTGAAAAATAAATCAATTATCTTGTATTTTGAAAATCTATTTAGATTTATTTTTAATTTTACAGGAAGTATTTAAAACTGACGTAAATATAGCATTACCTGTAAATCGAATCAAAGGGCGCTGTGCCGTTGTAAGTGTAAAAGATTATTTTCGTTATCAGCCATTTGGTTTTGATGAAAAAGATGTTTATGTTTGTGAATCAAGATATTCATCAAGATGTAGAAACTTCAAAAAAATTAAAGTGTGTTGGTCATTTTGCAATAAGTTATATATAAGTTATAAATAAGTATATTTTAATAATATTATACGTTGTTAATAGAATTGGGCTTCAAGTTTAACTGCTACATGGAGACTAGTTGAAAGAGAAGAACCATTAGATCCTAAAAGAATAATGTCAGTATTTAGAGACAGAGTTGAGAAACATAAGGAAGAAATAGCTGAACTTGAAGAACATGAAAAAATTGTGGAAAAAGAAAAACCTGTATTTTATTTAATTTAATTTAAAATGTATTATTCTTATATTTTAAACATTATTTTTTTTTGTAGAACATAATTTTAACAAATCCTCCTATTGTTGATGATGGAAGTATTTACTATGAACAATTCAATACTCATATTGGTGTTCTCAAACCAGGAGACTTTGTCTATGTGAAAAATGATGAACGAAATCAAATTATTCAAGTAGATAGAATTTGGACTGATAAAGAGTATGTAAAATTTTCATATATTATAATGAGATTTAAATAATTATCATTAAATTTTCATGTATATAAGAATTCAACACTTAAATTCTTTAATATGAATGTTTTATTTGGCTTTTGATAATTAAATATGTATCAAAATTTATCTGTTATAAAATATTTTTTATACACATCCCTTATAGCATATAAAGGAATAAACTATATTTTTTTCAAATATCAACACACATAATTAATTAGCTTATAAAGTAGAAAAGTATAAAATTAAAAAAGTAACTGGTTGACAACAACTTTTAAACTAGTACTTCAGAATTTATGAACACTTTTATACTACCTAAGTGTGAAGAAGAGTTTGGTTGAGAAATGTCTAGCAATAAAAATAACAGCATGCTCGTATCATGTCCAGACAATACTTTAAATTGTTAATGACTTCCGAAATACTAGTCCAAAAGTTGTTATCGACCTATATTTTTCTTAATTGAATCATTTTCTATTTTATAAGTAAGGTCGTACTGGGAGGTCTAAGGCCCAGAAGGCACAAGAATTGTGACAGCCCAACTTGCTCCAAAAATATTTCTATTTCTTCATAAAAAGAAATAATGTGCAATAAAAAAAAGATCAATAATTATTTTATAAACCAAATTATGCTCATCATAATGACCCTCATCACATTAAAGATTAAAGCAGGGACAATTGTCCTTTTACCTGTGGCCAGTCTTCCCCTGGTATAGTGAATTCCTATCAATATTTAATTAAAAATTAAGGTATTATTAATTTAATGACATAATGAATAGGTTTTGGTTTTTGTAATAATAGTTTATTATTTCCACAAGTGCACTTATTCATTTTTATTTAATTGAAGGAATTATCTAATGTTTTTTTATTAATATTTTGCAGTATTAAATTTTTTATTGTTAAATAGAGATTTTTTTAAAAGACCTTTTTTTGTTGCCTTCTTCTTCCTTGCCTTAATCTCAACTACTTAGGGTCAGTACCTCTTTTTCTTTCAACATTCATTTCTATAACTGTTGTCTTCCTTTTGGAAATTCCTGGAAAATTATGACAACTTTAAAATTAGAAAATTATTGGTTGATAGTAACTTTTACATAAATATTTTTAAGTTATTAATTCTTTAATATAAAAACTGGAAGTGACACAAAGAATTATTTATTTTTATTTATAAACATTAATGAATCGAACTACTCCTCCCGCCATGTTGTAAAAATACTAATATCTTTGAAATACTAATCTATAAGTTGTTATCAACCAGCCATTTTCTAGTTTCTAAGTTGGTTAATTATTTTTTATTTCATTATAAAAACTTAAGTTAATAAAATTTTAAGGGGATTGGACAGATTGTTTTCTGGAAAATATAGAACATAGGATACTATTAACTGCCAAAATAAAATAAATTATATTATGTTTTATATTTTTAAAGATTTTTCATGAGCCATAGGTAACAATGACTGTATACTTATATTATTTTTATTAGGTATAGTTATTGTAATCATGCAGCAAATACTACAAATTTTGGATAAGTTTCTTAAAATTTAAATATTTATATTTTCACTAATTAGGGAGTTTTAGTTACAATTGTTTACTGTATTATGATAAACAATATATTTTTAGTTTATGTTTTATTGTTTTTCAACTCTATTTTGAAGTTACTTAAAATTCTGAGCTTTCATAAAGTTTTTATATATGTTTACTACTAAATATTAAAATTCTTATGGTATTAAAACTGTATTAATTAAAATATAATTATTGTTATTGTTGTCAATATTACTGATTCTATTTTTCAGAGAAAATCCTTACATTTATGGCCCAATTCTTTTAACACCATCTGCTATACAAAATGTTACTGGCAGACAGTTTTTTAAACAAGAAGTACTACTAACTTATACTGAGGAAACAATTTTAATATCTAAATTAACTGGAAAGTGTTCTGTTTTAGAGCATGCAGAATATATATCATGTGAGTGTGATATTTTTTATATAATTGGTGTACAGTATAATGTGAAATTTAAAATTGGTATTTATAATTTTAATTCATGCTTAGAATTTATTGTTTGTATATAACTATTAAAATATCTTCTTTTTTAGCTTCGATGTGAAGCTGAGAAGGTATTAATTTTACCATGATATGTTTATTTTATTATTTTTGTGTCTATCACTACTTTTTCTCAAATTTCACAGGACCGATTTTTCTTAATATTATGTCAAAAGATCACTAATTATATCTAGTTAAAGACATCCTCAAAAATTGGAAAATTTTCCCTCATTTCCCATAAATGGGGAAAGTTACTCTAAAAATTATGGTTTCTAAAATCAGTAAATTTCGACATTTTTAAAACTTTTTTCTGAAAACTGTCATAACTTATTTAAAAGTTGAACAAAACAAAATATTTTTTTTATATATAAGTACATTAGGTACTTCCCTTTATTTGGGTATATATATTTTTTAAAATCTGACCATTTACTTGTCTCCAAGGGGATTCAAAATGGCAACTTTTACACAAAAATTAACTTTTGAAAAAGTTCTAGAAATACTGTTTTTTTTTTAAATATTTTAAATTATAGTTTGTTATGCACTACAAATAAAAAAAAAATTTGTCCAAACGACCTATCTTTTATATACAAATGGCTACTGTAGTTAAAAAAAACATGCAATTTTTTTTTAAATTTGGTGGTTGGATAAAATCAAAAAAAAAGATTAGAGTCCCCCAAAAAAAACTAATATGAAACTGTCTTATTGCACATTTCTTTTTTCACTTTCAATTTTACACCATTATTCCTTTTTTTTTAATAATCAGTGCATCACAGGCTATTGGTATACAGTAATACATTTAGTTATTTACAATATTTACCAAATATATTTATTTATTATTAGAAAAATTTATGTATACATAAAATTTTGTAGGTCGACCAGCAGAAATAGCAGAAGTGGATGTATATTTATGTGAGTCAATCTATGATGATACTACTAAGCAAATAAGAGAATTACCTAAAGATGGATTAAAAAAATATACTCATTCTTCATCGGTTAATCAAGACGAGTTCTATTTTTTCAGAAGGTTAATTCATCCTGTGAAAGTAAGTTATTTATGGTTTATTACTTATAATATCTACATTGGTGGTTTAAAAAAAAACTCTTGGATCTCAAACTTAACTATCATTAAAAAAATATTTTTATGTTACATTATAATTTTCTGATTTTTTGTGAGAATATTAGTTCCTAAAGCCCCTCCCAATTTTCACTTATAGATTTCTATATACTTGTTGATTTTTTATAGGTTGGAGCTCCTGAGTTGCAGTCAGACTCCAAAGCTTCTTATAATCATATTTATGATTCTGTATCTGTAAGTATCTTGTAATAAAAATGTGAAAAAAAAAATATGTACACTTAACAAATTGAATTTTGTTTATGTACTATATTTGAAGATTTTACTCTAATCTTAGTATTATCTTGTTTTATTTTTCACCTTGTTTAGAATGTTAACTCTCCAATAATTGCAAAATTAGAACTACCCGATACAATGACTGAAGATTCTTTAGATGGAGGTCCACCATCTGTTAGTTCATCTGATTTGGGTGATCGCACTATGAATACTTCAACAATATTGTCTACACCTTCTTCGTCACGAAAAAAAAATCCCAATCATAAAAAATTGGTGACAGGATATATTTTATACACCAGTGATGTTCGAAAAGCTGTTGCCCAAAATAATCCTGATCGCAGTTTTGGTGAAGTTAGTCGTATAGTTGGAAATGAGGTTCATTATTTTAATAACCCAAAATAAATAATAATAAATAAATAAATAAATTAAATTGTAGTGGAGAAATTTATCACCAACTGAAAAAATGGCATATGAAGAAAGAGCCAACCGGTTAAATGAAGAAAATTACCCGCAGTGGCGTCAACATAATCTACAAGCTCCACCACCTGAAGGCTCTGATTTGTTATGGGAATGTGGATGGGATAATTGTGATTGGCAATTTGAAGATCAAGCTGATTGTTTAGATCATGCTGTAGCTGATCAATATGGTCACATACAAACATTTTTTGCAGCCATTCCTCCTAGTGGTTAGTTAAGATTTAAGTTAATGCAAGTATATATTATTTTATATTTTAATTTGGATTTAGAAGTTGAATATCAATGTCAATGGAGAGGATGTCTTCGAGTGAAGAAAACTGGAATAGCTCCCTTTCCAAGCTTACATCGCTTAGTCAGACATGTAAAAGAAGTTCATATACTTAAAAATCCTGGAAAATCAGTTCCCTTATCAGAACGTAACAAGTAAATAAAATTTTGATAATTTAACATGAAATTTCCTTTAAATCTCCTTTTTTTTATTACTAATATTAATTTATTTACCATTTAAAATTTTTTTATCAATTTTTGAAAAAAATCATATTTCAGAAATTGTATGTTGAGCACTCGCTCAATTGTTACTACTTCCTCTGTGTTATCAGTTGCGCCACCATCTCCACCATCAATTGAAAATTGTAATGGTGTGTTAATTTTCTGATAAAATGTTTAAAAATTTTGTGTGAAGCATGATTTTAGTATATTTGATTTGACAAGTTGTTGTAATTTTAATTAGAATTATTCATATAATCTTTTTATAGCAATTGTTGAATGTATCTTTAAAATATAAAACATAATAATTTTTTCTTTTTAGAAGTTAATATCCTATGTTCTGTATTTTCAAAAAAGTATTGGTTCTGTCCTCTCTTCTTTAAAAAAGTATTAACATTAGTTTTGTATAATGGAAATATAACAAAACAAGATATATATTTAATATATTAAAACAAGAGAATGATCATACTAAAAAACCACTGGATAATAACAACTTGTGAACCAGTATTTTAAATTATATTAAAATGAGAGGCACATTGTGATTCATAAATGTTTAGAGATCAAAATAAACAAATCCGTGATTTACCTTTAGTTGTTATAATACAGTATTAATAACTTCCAAAATACTGTTTCAATAGTTGTTAACAATCAATTATTTTCGTAGTTAGATAATTTACTTATTTTTAAACTAGTGAATCATACAGAACTAAATATTTTTTTAAATTATAGAACATAAGATATTATTAACTTCTAAAAAAAGTTCTATGTTTAATACTTTTAAAGATATTGTGTGAGGCATAGTTAAATTATCACCTTGTATAATACTTCAATATCTTCTGTAAGTAATCGGGATTATAATAGCTTTTAATGATATCTTGATTCATTACCTACAACCAACCAAGCTATTTGAAGAAGCTAAAAATAAATTGTGAAGTCTTATAAATTAACTAGTTTTTTTCTATTAAAGTTAATAGTTTTTTCTGTATTAATGAATTTGATACTCTATAACATGAATATCATACAGAACTTTACTTCATCGTTACATTTTCATTAAGAGTTTATACAAAAGACATTGTTCATATCTAACAAGTGAAATAATCATCAATTTGTTTGAAATGCGGTATTATTTCTTATTAATAATTGAGGCACTGATAATGAAAAAGATGTAAATTTCAAAATCGCCTTTTTACACTTAAAATGTTTTTTCAAGAACAATGATGTAGAAAAGAAGTTCCTATTCCATTTAAATTAGTAGTTATTGGTATATTATGAAAGTACAGTTTTTGAGTTCTTAAAATGTTTTTTCCTTCTTCTATAAAATTTGTTTTTTGGCATTTACACCCTTTTCATTACTAGTACCTCAAATGTAGTTATCTTGTGTTATTATTTTAAATATATTCAATTAATTCTTGGAAATATGGAGTAATCCAAACTGAATTATAATAAATATTACACTCCTGGATAGTGTACGATCTAAAGGTCTACACTTCATGTTTCTACAAATTTTGTAGTTCAAGTTCTCTTAAATTAAAATGAATTTTCAAATATTGAATATTTTAATTGGGTTTTGTAAATCTAAAGAAAAAGAAAATTCATTGTGAATTGATTGATATTAGGCATTAATATTAAACGCATTTTACAATCCTAAATATTCCCTTGGCTGAATTTATTTAAGATAATTAGTTTTTCAAAGCTTATTATTTTTTGCTTTTATATAAACCGCTTTATAGAAACGCTGTTCAATCTACTCGCTTAAAAAAAGAACAATTGATTCAACCACAGGTACCTCATCAACATTATTCAAATTCACATGGTAAGTGTATTTTTCATAATATATATTTTTAATTAAGCTATGGGTTAAGTCTAGAATCTTATTCTATGATATTAGCTTAATACACTTATAAGTGTGGGTGTTCTATATATTTAGTATTTTAGTAATTTTTTTTAGTTATAATTTGTAGAAATTGATTGTTATTAAAGTAGTTGAATAATATCTATTAAGTGAGTTGTTTTATTCATCACTGAATTTTAGTGTAAAATTATTGTACTTGAATAAGGCTCATAAAACTATTAAAAAAAAATTAAAATTTTTATGATCATAAATTTAAATTAATTCATTTAATTATATTAGTAGAAAATAATTGTTTATGTTTTATGAAATATAATGAATGATAAGTCGACTTAGTATAACCAAAAAAAAAAAGCATTTCTTTTAGACAACTTTTTTCATTTAAATTCTATTTTAAATGGAATAAAATCTATTAATACTGAAAAATTGAAATTTTAATGGTTTTTGTTTTTAATAGTTTTACATTACTTATTTCTGGTAAATTTTTATTAAATGATTTTTTAATATATTTTTATTTATGGTTCATAAATCTGTCTTTAATATAATTTAACTATGAAGGTAAAATGCATAATAAACATTACTTTTTTTTAAGTTGGAGGAACTACTGGTGTTTTAAATCAAGTCATTAATAGGAATACTCCTTCTCCTATGTCACAAAATGGTAAAATTTTTACTTATTTTATATTAAAAGTTTCACTAATTGGTTTTATCCCAAGGTACAACCGGCAATGGAGTAAATATTAATAAACATCTTGAGCCAATTTTTGTTACTGTACCTCCAAAACCAACAAGAGTATTTCACTCTGAAGCTTACATTAAGTAACTTCTTTATTCATATCTATATTTTTATTTGATACATTTAATTTAATTTTTTTTTATTACTAAATATTCATTTGTTATTTAAGGTATATCGAGAGTTTGAATCTTGATAACAAACCTAATTGGGAAAAACAATTAATAGCAACACAAGAAAATATAAAAGGTCCAGATGATCCAAACTCACTCCCAGCAGCTCAGTGGCTAGGAAAAGGAATTGGAAACCATGGTAATGTTCTTAATGCTTTATGGGCATTGAGAAATTTTATGATGAAAGATGCAATGGGATTATCAAAAACAGATGAATAATTTATGGCATTTAAAATTATTAAAACAGATATTGTGTTCTGTTGTATACACTTAGTATTAATAGATTTTTACTGAATGACATTTAATTAACTATTTAATCTAAAAAATAAATGTTTAGTTTATATTTATTTTACTTATAATTTTTAATTTCATTTTTCAATTACATTTTTTAAAGGTTCAAATAAAGTTTCTTATTTTGTAAATTACTTTTAATTTATTTATTACATTGATTAAAAATCAGTAACTCTTCCTTTTCGTTCCCAATCACCATACCTTGTTGGTTCAGGTCCTTTAGGGCCATTTTTTTCTCCTGTTATTGGGTTACGTCCTTTGGGCCATTCATCTAGTGGTTGCTTTTCTTGATATGGGTGCTTACCAGCTTCTAACTCATCAAGTCTACCTGAATTTCATTATAAATTTTATAGACAATTTTTATTAAATTATAGTGCAATAAAACTTCCTCAAATTCTAGGCATTGGGACTAATGAATTTACTTTGTTGTTGACTAAATTTAAGGAATTTTTTTTTATTATACATATTAAATGAGATAGATAAATAAAAATATTATAAACTTAACTTAATTATTATTTTTTTTAATTAGCAAAAAATGTTCAGTCCCAATTTTTTTAAATTTCTGTACTTAAGTAATCAATACTTAAGGTGATTATTCTATGTGTACTTTGCCCAAATATACTTATAAAGAATAGTTTCAAAATAATTTAGTAAAATAAGTTATTTTACAATTTTTTTTTATTAAAAAATTATATTTAAGGAAAGAAAAATACTTAACACTAAATATCATCTTACTTATCTGAGAACAATTGATATATTTTTTTTAATTTCAAGTTTAATGGTCAATTTTATTAGAAATTCGACCTTAATACTTAATTCATTTTATTGGAAGTATAATTGATAGGGACTGGATAAAAAAATTGGCCCAGACAATCATAGTTTAAGGTAGTATAGTAATTTTGTAACTAGTTACTTTATTAGTTTTTTATATACATGTAGTATATTTGAATACCTATCAGGAATTTTCCTGACTTACCAACTTAAAGTATATAACTGGGATTGGGAATTCTCACCAGAATGTGGGATAAAATCCAGAGATTAAATTAGCAATATTTCCATAACATTGAAATAATAATATAGACATATCATTATCACTACATAAAAAATATTCAAGTAATTATTTCATTTTTTTGTTATAATATAAGGTTAAAAAACTCATAAAATAACTAGACATTTTTTTATGATATAGTTATTTATTCTTTGTAGCATTAAAATAAAATTGATAGGTCATTATTCGAACAGAAGTTGACATGATGCTAATTCATGTTTAAGACATTTTCTACTGGAGAGATAATACCCTCCCCTAACAGCTCTGATTTTAAATATATTAAATATTTTACTCATCTCATTTTGAAAAAAAAATATTTTACAATAAATCACTGGTCGTTTTTAAATAACTATCAATGTTTTATTTTGAATTTATATTGTACTTTGGATATAATTCAATTGAAAATTAAAAATTGTAAACAACTAACAAATTATATTCTTAATTAATGATTGACATTATGTATCCATATTCTTAAAATTTTATTTTTAACTTATGGTAGTTCTGATACAAGCATTTCCAATAATCATACACTAGTCATGAAAAACTTATCTAAGCATATAGAAGTTTTAAAGCTCACTTCAGTTATTATAAATTTATAAAGATGTATTTTGATTATAATAAAGTTTAAATTTAATATGTAAGATAATATTAGATAATATTTTTAAAAATGATAATTTTATATATAAATAATCTTCGTATAAACTTCTCAATATCTCGATTTGGAAAATTTCTCAATTCATTTCTATAATAGTATGAAAAATCATAAACTGGGTTAGATTCCAGAGTATGGAGCTTGTAAACATATACACAGAAAGATAAAACAGAACTTTATCAAATATTTTCCATGCTTCTCCAGGATGCAAATGACTTCTCTTTTTAAGAATAAATAAAATCAACTCATTTTTAAAGGGTTCCTAAATTCTTCCTTTCTTACATAACAAAATCATGGATGAAAAAAATTAATAGTTCTTAAAATAAAATCTTAATACTTATTAGATTCTCGATTTACAAATGTTTCTATTAGAACATCTCTGTTAATCACTTGTATTCCTCTCTATATCTTAAATGTAATTTTCCTTAATAGTTTTCAATAATGTAGAGTGTATCTAAAACAACATTTTATTAATACATTCATTTTAATCTGGCATATTATACAAATCCCATAGTCCAAGACTATCTTCATCTTTAGGGTCAATCTCAAGTGGCCCTAATTGATACTTAGAATGTAACTGATAAATCCTATAAACTGATTAATATCACCAATTCAAAATATTTTTTTACTTAAACCAGCAACCTATATAAACTACTTAAATCACTTGTTTTGAAATAAAAAAATTATGTATGTAAATCTACAGATTGTATAGTTTTATGAGTTAATGAAAGAAAAATAAATGAAATTTTAATTTAGTATATAAATTCATTAGAAAAAAATCTTATAGCCTAATCTAAACGCAACTTTAAAAAATCATTATAATCACCAATTGGAGTTTTCATTTTAATTTTTTCTTTTAGTTCTTCCACTTTTGGAATTGAAGATTTATGTTTAATTTGGTGAATAAAAAGTCGTTGCTTAGTTAAGAAAATACTCCTGATCGAATTCATGTCGGAAAATTAAAATCATTAATTGAGTAAATTAAAATTATCCACTATTTTTATTGTAGTAATTTTTTTTATTTAAGTTTTTTAATAATTATCACTTAAACCAGATAAATAATTCCGTGAATTCTATTAAGTTTCTGTTAACTGTTAATTCAGAAATTCATTACTTAACTTTATTATTATCAAACATTTATCACTAAAATATTTTTTTTTCGTTGACGTTGTAAGTAGTGATGGGAAATATCGGATAGGGGAAAACACCTTTGTCACGAACTGATAATGCTCCGACATTTATATACTTCGACATTTGACTAAGTAGTAATTGTTACGAACATCTGGTACTCCGACCATCTGTACCATAGGTTACCAAAATTACGACGGATTGTACTCAGACATTAAATTAAAAAACGGTAGCACAGTGAGGTCGAGGCACAGTGTGGACGAGGCATAAATGGGACAAGTATAGATGATATCTAACAGTGATTAAAATCACTATCATAAGAAACGCTTCGATGCAAATCTGTAAATAGTGTTTCCTTTAGAGAAATTGGTGGATTATTCTAAAAGCAACATCAACTCTTATTTCTTTAATTATATCCTGATTAGTAGCTCTTTGATTTTAAAATATAATATATATATATATACTAATTATAGTTCTTAAATTTAGTATGAAATTGTGATGCCAGCTATGATGTATGGTTCATAGTGTTGGGCGGTGATAACAAAGTAGAGCAGAGAATAAGTGTTGTAAAGATGAGAATGCTTAGTTGAATGAGTGACTAGAGAAGATAAAATATGGAAAGAGTATATAAGAGTGAGTATAGGTGTAGTGTCAATTGTGGATAAGATGAGAGAAAATAGACTTAGATGGTTTAGTAATGTTATGAGGAGAGAAGAATCGTTATAGAAATGAATGTTGAAGGAAGAAGCGGTAGAGGAAGACCAAAAAAGAGATGGATATTATTGAATGTGATATGAGGACAGCTGATGTGATCGTAGAAGAGGGGGGGGAGAGATCGTGTCAAGTGGAAGTTTAGAATAAGGGTGGGTGATCCCAAGTAGTTGGGATTAAGGCAAGGAAAAGGAAGAAGATTATCTGAAATTCCGGTGGCATTTGACATAATATGATTGTTGTTTGGGAATGTACAATTTAGCGTTAAGTTGGTTTTAAACAATATAGTGTCAAATCAATTACCTACTCTATCGGTTGTATATTAATATACGCTACACTATAATGATACAATAAATAAATAAAATAAATAATAAATAAACTCACACATACACACATATGCATTTATAACATTGTATCTAATGTAAGTATAACATGATAAAAAGTAAGCATAAAATGAAATTTTATAAAAACATATTTTAAAATTTGTTCATTTTTGAAAAAGTTTCGGCAGTTTTTAGTAAAAAAAATAGAAAAATTTCGAAAATTAGTGATTTTTAAATTTGTAATTTTTTTGGAGGTTTCCCCCATTTACGGGGAGCCAGGGATTTTTTTTCAATTTTTGAGGGCAATGTCTTCGACTAGATACGATTTGTGATCTTTTGACGTATTATTGAAAGAAATCGGTTAGGTGAGAGCTGAGAAAAAGTGGTAACAGACACAAAAAAAAAAAAACACATCTAAGTAAAACCAATACCTTCTCAGCTTCGCATCGAAGCTAAAATACATTAAAAGAAATATGTACAGTATCTGTTCAAGTGGTGTCAAAATGCCCGACGCCCTTTTTAAACACAATTGCCCGTGTACAAATTGTAAATTGTGTCGAGATCAGATGTGGTTTTAGTATGGACTACCTTTTTTATTTTTACAAATTATTCTTTAACGACATTTGTTTATGATATTATTACATATCAGTTGTCTCATTTAGACGAGGGTTTTTTAATGCGAATATAAAAATAAATTACAGTTATTGAAAATCCATAGAAATTGAATTTAAGTATTGTATTTTAATAAAAAATACATTCAATTACATGAAATAACTAAATTTAATTTACCTTTTTTTTTACTTAAATTTAAATACAAACATTTTTGTTTTTATGTTGTTCAATATTTATTAGAGGGCGGTTCTTAAAAATGATGTTTTGAAATTCATATCAATCAACTATAAAATTAATAAAAACTATGTTCCACATAACGATGCTTTAGTATTATATCAAGTAATCAGTATTTAATATGTTACATGCAACGGTATGATATTTTACTTTAGTTCGTGATGCAATGTAACAGTAATCCACAGTGGAAAATTTTTTTATTGAAATTACATTACAATTCATTACATATTAACAATTTGAGCGGTCACATTACCAAATCATTCGTTAGTCTGTGATTAAAGGCATCAATTATCATAATTATAGTTAGAATTCTATCCATAATCATGATTTTAACCCAAACGTTTATATGTTAACGGTGATAAATAATATTATCACAGAATAAATCATAAAGAAATATCACAGATAAGATAAAGTCTTATCTTATCTGTAGTAATATTACCTATTAATATTATTCTGTGATATTGTTCAATGGAATAAATAAATGTTTTTATCATGTTCATTGATAGCTTTATCTCTATTTTTGAAATATTGTATAACCGTTCAGAATAAATTATATTAATGTGAAAAGTGAACATTTATTAATTAACTCGTGTTTATTTAATAGCTATATAAAAATTATATATTTATAATATATAAAGTTTATACTTTAGTAACAAAATACCAAGTATTTCATATGGATGAAATAACCGAAGAAATCGATAGAGTCGTTCATGTACTTGATGTATTAAAATCTAGATACATTTTACTACGTGTAAAGTATGATGTTGGTAAGTAAAATAATTAAAATAGTTGTTTTGATTGAATCTATGCAGAAGTTAGATTCTCTAGATTAGTTTATATATATTTATGTACTTGGGAGGATTTAGAACTGTTTTGTAAGGGATGTAACAATAGTTATTAGTATTCTTTATATTTGTCAACTTGTTAAAAAATAATAAAAATGAAGTACAAAATAGGCTAATGAAGACTTTTCACAAAATCCATCCTACTATATGCCTGATTTTGTAGAGACGATTATAATATAAATGTCTAATATTTAATTTCTAATTGGTAATTAACATTGTTTCGTCTATGATAAAAAATATTTATATTATCAATTTTTAGTTAATAAATAAAGTTTTTATAATGGGTAAAAATATATTTTGTGATGAAAATTTTAGTGTCTATAAAAAAAAGTATTCTTTAGTTTTATCTTGTATGCATTCCTTAATTTTGAAATTTAGATGTAAATTAAAAAAAAAAATTGTGGTGCTAAAAATGCTTTTTATTACTTTTAATATATTTTTTACTCAGAATATTTTATTTCTGAGTTATTGGATACTTAAACTCTCTTTAATTTCCCCTTATTATGTTGTATGTTGTCTTTTAGACAACATTTCATTTTCTCTAGCGTAAGGCCACAATTGTCAAAATAAAATTTTTGCTACATTATTAATCAAAATTTTTTAAGTAGATGATATTGCAAGAGAATCTACCACACGCTTTCCCTCGTTATTTCACTAGTTGTATGCTTAAAAATAGTGCATGATGTTATGAAAAATATAATTTTAACAATGCTATTCTTGATTAATTATTATATAATAAAACATTGAAAAATTAGACAATACTAGAAACATTACTTAATGATGTGAGATTTTTAAAAAATTTTTCTTAATAAAAGAGCATGACAACATTATTCTAAGAAAATTATTTTTGAAGATAAGAAAATTTTTTAGCATATGAATATTAAGTTTTGAATATTAATTAATAGATTATTATGATTTATAATTGTGAATACTGCTAAGTATTTTATAGTCAAATTATTATTTTTTTAATTATCATTTAATTTACAAGTGTGATTACTTTTCTGGTAAATTGCTTTTGGAGTTATACTTTTTATACAAAACACATATCATGCTCGGTGTAGTCTTGTACTCCTCTAGAATCAGGGCACTGAGTGAGGGGCGGAGCCCCAGTTAGGCAAAGTCTAGTATTTATATATTACTTTAACTTTATAGGTAGCAATTTCCACAAAAAGGATTCAAAAGAAATGAGTGATGCAACTAACGATTTACAGTCATATGTTATGTTAGATTTGTACCTTTTGAATTATGCCTTTACTTATGGACTTTATTCAATGAATATGTATGCTACCCGTGCTAGAACAACTTTGAAAGAAAGTGACTCAGATCCTCATTTTTTAAAGTATCTATTTAAAAAGAAAATTATAATTTTACAATCATTTTACTATCATAAATGTATTACTTTTGTAGAATTTTAAAAGAAAAAGTACAATGCATGGTTGAAACAACCCAAGAAATTCAAAATTCTACAAAGGACTGTTACTCAAGTTTTACATCATATATAAACTCTTTGCTAGTATATACTAACCTATTGTATGGTATGACTTTATCAGATTCCATAAAGATTGACCAGATTGACAATGAAAAGTTAGTATATATTTTTTCTATCAACATTAAAATGAAAACTTCTTTAAGATTGGGTAAACAATTTTTAATTACTTTGAAGTTTTTAGTTTAACCATTTCTAAAAGTGCTCTAATTCTATAGTAATCTTAAAAAATATATTCAAGTTTTTATATACATTATTTTTGTTAGTTATATAGGTTACAAAAAAACATTTTTCACTATATAATACAGAAAAATAATTTTTAAAAATATGTTTTCAGTTTTATTATTTTGCATTTGTTATATGATTAAAGTATTATTATGAACAGGGTCTGTTACCGAGTCGATAACGCATCAGTGCTTGACGTGCACTGCCTCAGGTTCGAAACTCGGTCACAGACGGCTTTATTTGCTGAACGAGAGATCAGTTTGGTAATTAGAGTCGCCTCCCTCTCTCCAGTAACAGCCTCTAACCATCATTCCCGAAATATAAATGGTTAAGAAACCTTCTTCTTTAGGAGAGGGCTCTATGGCCCTTGAAGTGATATAAAAAAAAATTCTATGAACAGATAGATAGTAGTGACATACCTAGGTTGCTTATTAAGTTAGAAATGAGAGAAAGATTTTACAAAATAATTTTTTTGGTGATTTTTTACTTAAAATGAAAGTTTAGAATAGCTAATTTTTTTATTCTTTCCTGAGTACTTATGTGTTAACAGGCATGTTAACTAAGGTTTAAAAAAAATATTTTTAGAGTAACACGGCCGCCGGGGATTGACAGCCGGTTATAGAAAGTGTACCGGAAATCATGTGAAAAAAAGAGGCATGATACGGGATTAGAACCCGCAACCCAAGGCGTCTAGACCACCGTGCACTTATGATTCAGATCCCGATACACTTTCATTTAGGTTGATAACGTGATGTGCAGTTGAGGGAAACACGGTACCGTGTCATGGGATTAATAGACTAACAAACAAAACATATTGCAGTAAAATGTGCATTAAATATTCTTCGTAGTGTTTATATTGAGTCTAATTTTCTATAAAATATTTTACACGTTAATGACATTCTTGAAGGATTTATATAGTCAGTTTAAGTTATGAAATTTAATGGTAATCAATTATTTTCCTAAATTCAAATTTAAACCAAGCAACACTAGAGCCACCTTAAACACAGAAAATAAAAAAAAAATATTTAGCTTTTCCCACCAAATTAATTTTAAGTTATACCACTATACAATTATTGTAAAATATTAATATTTCTTTTTATTTCATTGAAAAAAAAAAAATTATATAGTACTCTAATTTACACAGGTATTTAAAAAATAAGGAAATAGGTCAATTGTTATAAATAATAACAATAGAAACCAGTTTTCTTATTTGCAGAACACCTATATAATCATTGAAGTTAATAGTCTTTCATTAATATAATACTTTTTTCATTATTTTATCTGTGACTCTTTCTTTTGATGTATTTTATAAATTATTCATTTTTTAGAAAGAAAAAGAAACTCATGAAAAAAATATCAAAAATTAATTTGATGGCTAATATTATTCAGTTTTTGGTCTCTGATAAAATAATGGATTACAGAATAGAAGAAGGTCGAGATGCTTTAAATATGGCTTTAAAATACAGAACACCGAGAACATTAGAATATTACTCAAAAAATATCAATAATTCATAGGAAAATCAATTTTGGTAATTTAATTTTAAATTTTATTTGATCAAATAGAGAAAAATAAAAAATAGTAAGCGTTTTCTCCAAAACAAATTTATTTGTTCACTTTTATTTAAATAATTAAATGCATACGCTATATTAAGAACTTATCTTTTTATTAAGTATAAATTTATGTAATGATATAATGTAATGTTGAATAAAAATTTACAACTAATAAACCATAGTAGGTAAAATAATTTTGTACAATTTTACAATTAAACAACGTTTTCATTTGAAGTAAAAAGTTTTTATGGGGAAAAAAGAAACTGAAAGGATTACAGACATATAATTTAATGGTAAATAGACCATAACCACATATATTTATTGTTTTTAAAGCTCGACAAGATATAACCTTGTATGGCACTTTTCTAAAAGTCAAATTACTGGTAAAATTTTAATATTGCTTTTAGTTTAATTGATATAGTTTTAAAATAGAATATTAGGATCAGCATCAACAAAAGTATAACGAGGTATAATTTATTTACTGCTAAATTTTAAAACAATTAATAATTTAAATATTATTAAGGTTAAATAATTTGAAGTTTATAAGTAGTTAATAAAACTGAAAAAATTAAGAAGTTTATAGAAACATATTTCTGGCCTATCAATTTAGATGAACTATTTGAAATTTTATAAGTACATTGTTATTTTTGCTGAACATTAATATTACTGTTTAAAAATTATCAACATTAATAATAAATTATCATAAAAAATATATGGTTATATGGTCCAAATTTCAGTCTTCAAACAATTTTATTTAGGACAAAACATTCTAGATATCACAGTGTCAAATAAAATTTTAGTCCCCGACTAAAAAGGGTTTATGTTATTAATGCATTAATATAATTATTGTGCAAATTTTATGTTCACTATAAAATATTTAAATGTTTTATTACATCCATCAGTTAAAAAAATTTATATTTTATAAACTTTTTCATAATCCTATGATATTTGATTAATCAGAATATATTAATGAAATTCAATACTCTTTATATTAATAAATTATTTTTAATTGCAGAATCATTAAACATGATGAACTTAAAAACATACATATACACTTTAAATATTTATTTTAACTAATAACTAGATTGTAACAAAACATTTAAATAATTGGAATTTACATGTAATAGTTGTCATCATTCATTTCCCTTAAATACATAACATGCTATAAGCAATACCCATTGTTGAGAATGAAGATATAGAAATTTGGTAAACTTTATTTCTGTGATGTCATTTTATATGAAATAAGAAAGTTTATGTATTTAGATATATAAACATTAGGATACATACAATTTTAAATTAAATCACAAGTTTATATCATATAAATGAATTTAAAATAACTTATAAGCACATTTAACAATTATATTTTTCAATGACATTTGAGTTCATTCTACAGATGGCAAGTACTTCTTTCATGAAACAATATTGATAGAAACATCAACATATAATTACTAATAAACATTTTTTTTAGATATATTAAATTTCTTACAATATTAAGTACCAAATTCTAACACACAATTATTAACATTCAATGTGTAGAGAGAAATTTCCTATTAGAAAAAATCAGTAAATAATCAACATGTATAAAAAAAAATTGAGGTAAATGCATTGACATAGAACTTAATGAGTATTTCAATTTTTTTAATTGCCACTATTTCCTATCTTTTTTGTGCTGTTCCATTAAACATTTTTATAGAAAATTTCATAAAGTAGAATATTTATACATTTTATTCAAAAGAAATTTATTATCTATAATTGATTGCTCACAAACAAGAAGAATCAGGTGTTGCAGTTCTAATTAACACTGGATTGTGTTTATCATAATCATGTACAAGATCTTTGATATGTGATAACTTATTATGTAAATAATCAAACCGTGCTTTAGCTGCTTGATATTTATCATCATGTTTTCTTTCATTATATTCTTGTAATATTTGGTTTTCTAAAATCTGTTGAAAAAAATCAACTATAAATATTTTTCTAAAATATTGAATGCTAATTAATATATGAATGAAAATTACTTTATATTCATTTGAACCTTTGGGATATAATAACATTTTATCTTTTAACTTTGCAAACTTATTGCGTACAGGGTCCATTATTTCAGCTAAATGTTTATATTCTTTATGACATTTCATAAATTCAGATTTATATTGTTTCTTTTGATCCTTATTGGTGATTCTTACAAAATCTCTAAATATTTTTAAACAATTACATAACATTATACTTATACAGAATGAATTTTTATTTAGAAAATAATATTAAGTTTTCTTACTGGATATATTTTGGTATAGTTTGGACTGGAGCATGTGTAGGAGACCGTAAATTTGACTGGGTGCTAGAAACAATTGGGGGAGGACTATTTGAGGATAATTTTTTTTCGGGTAAAGGCGGTTTGAAATGCGAGATCCGCATTCTTTTGGTTTGGAAACCATCAGCTCCATTGTAATAACCAGGCCGTTTATTACCATGCAGATTATTAGGAGGACTACTGGGAACAGTGCTACTAGGTGATTGTTCACTGCTTCCAGAACTGCCAGTATCACTTAAACCCGGAGGAGTTAAATTTTGAGGTTTCCTCCTAAATAAAAAAGAACAATATAGAGAAAAATTTTTAAATCTATTTTATGTATATATTAACCGTTTTAAAACAATATGATCTTGACCAGAATAAAAAGGCCAGTCTTCTTGAACATCATTCCAAATATGCCTTAAAAGATAATAAACATTATCTTTAGGTTGAGCTACTTGACTAAGAACTGACATAATTTGAGTTCTATCTTTATCTTTTAAACCATCTAAAAAATTAAAGCACATATTATAAAAACATAACTAAGTCATAATAATTTATTGATAAATAGCAATTTAACTGAATATAATACATTTTTGATGTTTGTTTTTGGATATTACATAGTTTAATAATTTTAATGGTTTACAAAAATTATAATAAATAATAAGATTTTCAACAAAATTTCTACCTTATTATTTGTTTAATATTTAGAGTTTGTTTTCTAAATAATCAATATACTTATATAAAACATATTATTGAAATATATATATGTATTTAATTAAGACATTAAAAAAATCTTAAATTGAACAGTATTTCATTTTAGTTTTGATGTGAACCTGGCCGGAGATACTACCTTCAAAAATTAAAAAAATATCTCATAATTCAGCATCCATCAAAAAGAGCAAAAATCATAATTTTTTTCTGCATTTTATAAGTGTAGAAACTTTATATTAAAAAGCAGGATTTGTATGAAATTTTAATACAACATACTAGGGTCTATAAGCTTTATTTTTAGTATGCTTATTTAAAAAAACATAAGGAAGGATTTAAAAAAAACTACTCACACTTTAAATTTTTTTTTTCATTTTATTTTTGAAACTGTTACAGAACATCTGCGTTTTTAAACTTAAACCAAAAATGAAAATATCTAAGATTTCAATAAAAAAAAAAATTTTTAATTTGTTCATTTTTCAAAAAGTTACGGCAGTATTAAGTATTAAAATATTTCATGTTAAACAGTGATTTTTACATAAAAATTACATTTTTCATTAAATTCAACAGCCATTATCCTATAGAAGAAAAGATGTCGGAACAAATTTTTGTATGAACTTATAGTATTTACTGTAATCTTTAATTTGGCATATGTTTAAAGAATGCAGTATTTACGGAACATTTTCAAAAGTTAAGTTGAAAAAGTTCTACTTTTTATACGTATGTTTCAAGTTTTGAATGCCCCCTGTATAAAGGGAAATTATCCAATTTAAATAAAATGTATGTTAAATGAAAGAGGTAAATATAATATATTTAGAAACAATAAAATTTGTAGTGATTCATACATTTCTCTAAAAGTTATAGCAATTCAAATTTGAAAATATAAAATTGAAAATCAGAAATTTTAACACAAAAATAGCATGTTTTTAACTATGGCAGATATTTGCACATAGAAGATAAATCAGACAAATTTTTTTTCTTCATTTTATAGTACATGACATAAGCTTTAATTTGATATATATTTAAAAGACGCAGTATTTCCGGAATAATTTCAAAAGTTAAGTTGAAAAAGTTAATTTTCGTAAAAAAGTTGCCATTTTCAAACCCCCCCAGTGAGCAGGTTGTGTTAAATTTTCAAAAAAATGATATCAAATGAAAGTCAAATATCAAAGGTTTCAATATAAAAATAAATTAAGTTTATTTGTTAATTTTTGAAAAAATTATGATAGTTTAAAAGAAAAAAAATAACGAAATTTACCGATTTTAAAAATTGTAATTTTTTTGGAAATTTCCCCCATTTATGGTAAATGAGGATATTTTTTTCAATTTTAAAGGTAATGTCTTCAATTACATATAATTTGTGATCTTTTGACATATTTTTTATCAAAATCGGTCCAGTGAGAGCTAAGAAAAAGTGGTAACAGAAAAAAACACATCATGATAAAATTAATACCTTCTCAGCTTCACATGGAAGCTAAAATTAAGTTAACAATATTATTATTATTTGATTAACTATGTGGTTAGTGATAAAAGAATCATTCTGTATTAAATTGTAGCTTTTAAAATAAATATTTTTTCTCATAATGAAAATATAAACATTTCAACAGTTTCTGAGAAAATGAGTGTCTCAAAATTGTTAACTCTATGTAATAAATAACCATAAATAAATCTCGAAGCAAAATTTTTTTTTTTTAATTATATTTACATACCTCTATTTAATACACTAATTAATTCTGGTTTTTTGTAAGGTCTTAATGCTAAAAGATGAATAATTCTGTCTCGTAATGGTTTTTTGCTGATATCAGATGCATGGCTAACAGGTGATGATGCTATGTGTGGAGGTATAGGTTTTGAAATTATAGGTTTTGGAACGTGATTTAGTGTATTATTTATATTATTTGTATTTGAATTATTATTATTATTATTATTATTATTATGACGATTGGCTCTTATTTGGGCAGGATTTCTTCTAATTTTTCGGCTCAGAGCAGATTTACTATCGAGTTCAATTTCTCGTGTACTGTAAGTAAAAACGTTTTATTTATATATTATTTCATGGATTAATAATAAAAAATTTGTAAGCACCATGATTTTTTATGTAATTCTTCTACAGCAACCATTCTATGTCTAGTAGCTTCATATACATCTTCATTTGCTAATATTCGCATACGTCTATTTAAAGTACCAACATACTCCAATGATCTATAAGAATGTCATAATAATTAAATTATACAGCTAATGATTAAAAATAGATTAATTAATGTAAAATTAATAAAATGTATTATTTTTACCTTGATGTGTTTTGTCGAATACATTCAAAACTGCTGCGAGGTCCAGCAACATCTGTTGTATTGGATAAACTAAAGTCAAATGTATAATTTTTTGATATACTGGGTACACATAATTGCTGAAAAAAGTAATAAATAATTAAATTAAAATTATAGATCATGTATAATTTCGGAAGCATATATTTTAGAATTATTTATATATCTATATTTTTATTTAAAAAGTTCAGGCCTGTACATCAACATAAATGTTTTTCTCCTATGAGTTAATTTATTTAGAGGAATAGTAATAAAATCAATTATTTTTAATGGTCTATCTTTTAATTTTTATTTGTTAAAAATTAATTACACACATTTTTAAAATAAAAACCCAATTATTTTAATATTTTGTCAATGTATAACCAAAAATTTTATACAAATAAATTAAAAAAAAAAAAAAAAAAAATTTTTATCAGAAAATTGAGGTTTATTTACAGATAGAGGGTATTCAAATTCCCCTAACATTAATAGTACCTAAATGTTAATACAATGCGGAGGAAGATTAGATAAAAATTTATTGTGTAAAATTTCATTTAGAGCAAAATTTACATCAATATTACAGGAAAAATTATTTCAATTTCACAATAAACTATTATCACCAATGTGTACAATATGATCAGATAATTTTTATTTAATGCAATAATATGATTCAATACTTTAAAATGAATAAATAAAACAATTTCTAACTCTATACAGTTTAATAATTAAATCACAATATGATTTAGTTAATGAGCTATTATTTTATATAATAGAAATAGAAAATTTTTAATTTTTAACCTAAATCAGTATTACAAAAAAAAAAAAAAAAATTTCACATAAATATATTTTATATGTCATAAGCAAGAAATAGTACAATAATATCTCAAGTAAAATAAAAACTTCATCATTTTTTAAACAAATTGTACATAGAAAAATAACTAAAAAAATCAATACTTACACCTTCGTTTCCTTTAAATTGTATTCTAGGTTTAGGAAGATTTTCTGAGTTGCCCTATAAAAAAAAATGTTTAATTTTAAAACACAACTTATTTTAAATTTTTAATCATCATAATTCATATAATTAATAAATAATATAACAATGGATAGTATGAAGTATTGTCTCGTCTTAAAAACAAATTTATAAAATTTATTAAAAAATAGGTCTAGAAAGGAGAAGTATAGTAAAAAGTATGTATCATTTTAATCATTCAATTTTTGAATTATTTAAAATTATACGTCTTGTAAAAAAAAATTAATTTAAAATCAAAAATAATTATTTACATGCTTTATTTAATAAATGATATTATAAAAAACATTGTATTAATTAAATTTCTAAAAGTTCTTTTAAAATTTAAAAATATAAAACTTCTTTTATTTTACAACTTCTACTTCGATTGTTAGTCAATGGTCATAATAAATAGCGATTGCATTATCTAATAAACTATACTATAATGAATATTTCTATAGCGGCACATAACATGCTAACTAGTAAAAATAAAAATAAGTGAAAATATATTATAAATTAATGTTATTGGTTTTTCAGGTTTATTATGAATGTTATTTTTCAATTAACCTATTTTTTTCTCCGTGAATATCTTTGGATTACCCTGGAAACTAGTATTACAGTATTCAGGGGAAATTATGCCATTACTTCTTCTGAAACGACTGATAACATTAATAAACAATCAATTCATTTAAGTCAGAGGCGATGGAAAAATATTTTCCAAAAGGGGCCCTAAAAGAATGATATTTACTAGAAATACGTATCAATTAATCTTACGTATTAAACAATGTAAAATATTGTTGTCTAGGAAGGTTATAGATCCCCTGGATCCCTCCGTATTATCCATCACTAATTACAATTCAATCAATCATTATTTAAATGTAATTTATATAATATATCAGATCGCACCATAGTGCGCCAGTTTTAGCAATGCCAGTGTATCATTACACAAAACAATTAGGTCGGTTTTTCTAACCACCATGTCTTTGTTTTCTTTTAAGATTTACTTTTAAAATTTAAAACATAGATTAAACTCTAGGAGCTTAGAATACATGATAAAAATTTTAGCTCTTAATTATAGCTATTTTAAATTAGGAAAGTTTCATTTGTAGCAGGGCGGCAGTTACCCGATCTAATTTTTTAGTGGTTCGTGAAAATTACGTATAAAACACCTCCCCTTAAAAAGTCTGCCGCCTATCTTAGTTGTGGACAAGTTAGCTTTTTCTGTAGTTCATAAACCTCAATCCTACTTTCATCAGCAATTTTGCTCCTTTATTCATTAAAGTAGGATTAAAGTTTATGAGCTAAAGAAAAAGCAAACTTGGTCACAACGAAAATATTACTATTTTGATAGGCGCCGTGTCATATTTATGGAAGAACATTTGTTACATTTGTACATAGCCCACTCGAAAGCTCCCTTTGCAATAAATTATAGTTGTATGTAATTTATAATAGTACGAGGAAAAATAATATTTGTCTGATTAATAAAAATATATTATACATCTTGATATTATCAAACAAAAAGTTATAAAACATTATAGCAAACAAAAGTTTTGATGACAATACTATTTGTCAAGTTTTTTTAATAAAAAACTAAAAAATATCTGTGAACATTTCGATATACATAAACTATATATTATTTTTATAGAATTATCAAGTAATTAAAAGAAATATGGTTTAATTTTGTAATGTATTTTATTTAAAAAAACCAAGCACAGTGGGGTCGAGGCACAGTGTAGACAAGGCATAGATGGGACTAGTATAGATGATATTTGACAGTGATTAAAATCACTATCATAAGAAACGCTTCGATGCAAATCTGTAGATAGTGTTTCATTTAAAAAATTTGGTGGATTATTCCAAAAGCAACATCAACTCTTATTTCTTTGATTATATCCTAATTAGTAGTTCTTTGATTTTAAAATATAATATATGAATAAATACTAATTATAATTATTAAATTTAGTATGAAATTGATATTCAATAATTTAATATTGTAATTTAAACGGAGAAATTATAAAAATAATAAAGAAGTTGTATTTTGCTTTATTTTTACGTGTATAAAAATTTAAAGGGCTTGATACAATAAATTTCAATAAAAACTGTTTGTTACTATAAATAAATGCATTGAACTACAAGGAACTTTCATCAGTAACAAAAATATACCATTTTAAATCAACTTTTCGCGATGTTTTCAAATCTGCAATTTTTCTATCACTTCTAAGTTTTAATATTATCAAAAATTAGTATTTACATTTAAAAAATTCGCATCGAATCTAAAAAATTGGCTATTTAAGCTAACTCAAATTTAAAAATTACTTTTTCGACTTTAAAAAAGTAAAAAAAATTTAATAAGTTTAATTTCTTATGTCTTATGAACTTTATTCTATGTCAATTAAATTATATAATATTCATGAAAGTCAATATATTCTCCTAATAAGATATTTTAAAATAAAATAAAATACAAAACCTAGAATTTTAATAGAAAAATAGCATATTTTTGAATACGGTAGCCATTTGCGCATAGAAGATAGGTCGTCGGGACAAATTTTTTTTT